GAACAAGCGGATCGATCTGAGAATTCTAGATATTCTCGAAAAATCACGCTGCAGGGAGTGTATTCAAGAATTGTACGAAATTATACGGTAGCTGGCCCGCCGTGGTTACGGAATGCGTTTCTAACGCATCGTTGAAGGTCAACGGTTGACAAAAAAAAAGGCAGTCTCTTGTTAAGACGTTAGCTACCGTAATTTTTTCAGGTACTTAGTGTTTGCCGACAAAAATCACGGGTGGTTCTTAAATGGAGGGAGAGATAGAGAGAGAAAGTGTAGGTCGTTCTCGACCAATTATATACCTGTATACCCATTCGCGCAGAGAAATCCGACCTTCACAGTAAACTTATTATGGATCATCGCTATAATTATCCGTAAAATGGTTTATGATCCAGGTTACAAATTCTGAAGATACGTTTTTACCGCTTTTATTTTCACTGTAAAACGTTTTGCTTGAATTTAAACCATAAACTCCCCCAGCTCGTAACTTTAACTTAGGCAACCAAATGTCTAGTTACTAAACAATAATCTTTGAACGCCCAACAGAGAGTTGAATACCTCCAAATATTTCAGTTTTATAAGAATACATCCGACTTTATCTTTGTCGAATAAAACAGACCTATTTGCTTTTGTTTTGCCCTTGCACAAAACTTTTGAAATTGCAGACAAATGCTTTACGTTCGGAAAAACAATCGTAAATTATTATACAAAATTATATAGAAGTAAAATAATTTTCTCGAGTCTTTTTAAAATTTATTTTAATAAAGTGAATACAAAAATCAATTAATCATTTACCGCATCACTAAATGATTACTGTCAATTAATTTAGCGGCATCTCCGCGAATAAAGTTTTCAATGTATTAACGCTACGTGCAAATCACAATTGAATAAAGAAATAAGCTTTCCGACCAGCTATGTACATATATTATAAAACAATAAAAAAATAAGATGATGTAAATAAAACATAGCTACGGGAAAAATCTTGGTCTTATTTAAAAGGAAACGGAAGGAAAAAAAAGAGAAAAGAGGAAGAATTACACACGCAAATTTTCGTGCAATCGTAAATATATATGCGATACGATTCGTACATTAATGCAGCGTCAAACTGTAGCGGATTTTACGCTGTTCTTTAGCGTGGAGAGAGACCATATGTGTGGAGTGTAAACCCCTCTCCCCGTCCTGCCCGTCCCTCGATGTCAACCACCCGCGGACACGGATTCAGCCGGATCTCTGTATGGATCGTTTTGTCATTGGAATTTGATGATCCGCCGTCCCGTGGGGATCCGCTACATAAATATTTGCACGGTAATCCCTTCGTAGATCCACTTGCCTTTTCTCGCCGCCCCTCATTCTAACTGCCACTCCGTTTATCTCTCTCTCTCTCTCTCCCTCTCTCTCCCTCTCTCCCTCTCCCTCGCACTATTTCGCTTCATTACGCACCATACACGGATCTCGGCCACTCGGCAACTTTATGATCTGCGTTTTAGCAGTCGAGCCTGCGTTACTCAATCTCCGATGATGATTCCCCCGTTTGTTCGCGCAAATAAATACTCGAGCATTCAGGCGGATCTTTTACTTTTCAGTTACACATTATTTGATTAATTTGTGGAGTTAAATCTATTTTAAATTCAAATTCTTTCAATATTAAATCTTAAAAAATTGTCGCGACCGAATCCCGAAATAAAATTCTAACAAAATGTGATTCTCTTCGAGAATTAAATATAAATCTTTTGTCATTTTTTTGGATATGTTCCTGAAATATGATACGTAAAATTTATTCGCGTTGTTTATAACTTATATTGCCTTCGCATCTTATTTACGAGAAATTCGACTCTAAAATTAAAATCAGGAGCGAACCCCCGTTCAACTAAACTGACTAATCATATCGCTTTAATGACGCGAGGATTTTCGACCCCTCATCGATTCGCACTCTTATTTAGAGATACCTACTAGATGACAGCAGGTAGGGATTACCCTTTCTTTCTGTCGACGAGTGCAATTCAGTACCGTGGGGGATCACGCCCCCCGAAAAATAATAAACACCGTCGCGTCGCACCGCGCATGATACCGGATGATACACGGTCTGACAATCGCGGTGATCCCTGCAAGCAGTTACCAAGTGATCAATTTATCGCTCTAGCGGGGCAAATTTGTCATTTTGAAAACTGCGATCTACATCCTAAACACGTATGTGCGTGTTGCTATAAAAATTAGGTATTGTTTCGCTCATAAAATATTCATCAATGCAAAAACTTTCAAAGAATGATATCTAAAAAAAAGAAATTAAACCAAATCTTTAATATAATTGTTTTTTCAAAAAAGCACAAAGATATGTATATGTGTTATCTCATATCTCATCACAATTGTAACTTCACTCCCATTCTAATACATAGTCTTATTTAATAATACACGTTTTTTTCAATTATGTAGAAAGAAAAATAATTATATAAAATGTTATCGCGCAAACAGAGAAATGTGCGATAGTGTCGGTCATATATTTGTTATTATATTCATATATCGTTTACTCACGAATATATTTAAATATTCATTTAAATATATATTTTTTACTTACATTTCGAGCGTAAAAAAATGCACAACATATGCTAGTAGAGACTGCAAATCCTCAATCATAATCTGGCATAAGCAGTGCTACATCGGGGACCGTCGATGAGTCGATGTAGTACCGTCCCACATAATACAGCATCCATCGTCGATGATTAATCGTTTTCAAACCTCGTCGTCGCGTAATCCCTCTCCGGCAATCGAGCGACACGCGTTTCGTTCTTTTTTTCTCGCTGTCCCGAAAGACGGTATTTTTCCTGAAAAAACATAAACTGTTTTAGCCGCGTGTGCGCAAAAGAGCAGTTCGCTCTTTGTCTAACGAAAACGACGTAACGATGCTTTATGAATTCGACGGCAGATTTATCACGAGACGCGACCCCGTTCGTATTCCGTTTTAATCAACGCGAATTGTCTTCGTTTCCACTAGGCGACAATGACGCCTAGACGAACGAAAACTGAATTTTTTTGAAAGTTTATCATTGAAAATGTATGAATATCTATAAAAATCTATGCAATTACAAATTGTTACAGATTAATAAAAAGTCATGGTAGAAAAAAAATTTATATATATAATATCTCTTTTAAAAATTGTTGAAAAGTTAATGTCATTTTATTCAAACTATAGCAAATTGCATGCAAGAAGATTAAACAGTTTTCAAGATAGTTTATAATTGACAAATCAGAATATATATTTTCTAATATATCTCTCTTTTCATATTATTCGTTTTTTTACATAGATTAAAGAAGGAGACAATAAAGAATAAATTGCATCGACCTATAATATTAAATCCAATCTTTTTTATCAAATTTTTGAAGCAGAAATTCAGAGGAAATCGCACAAGATTTCGTTCCCCGCAGAATCTCTGTCGGACTCAATTATTGCGCGCTAGCTATGCAGTAGCAGCGACTATGTGGATAGATTGTGTTAAGACGAAACTCGCGGATTCTTTCTTATTCCGGCTTAATCCGAGGGAACGACTGTAGTAAAACGGATCAAAGGGGGATCATGCCCGGGAAATATCCCCGCCCACTCGCTCTCCGGACGCTCGTTTCGTCTCGTTTCTCCACCTCGATTCGCCACCTTGCAGCTATCTTCTGACTAACCTCTGACTCTCGCAGTCAAGATTAGGAGGGGAGATCGGAGGCGAAAGAGCGAGAAAAAGAGAGAGAGAGAGAGAGAGAGAGAGAGAGTCCGGACGCTCGTTTCGTCTCGTTTCTCCACCTCGATTCGCCACCTTGCAGCTATCTTCTGACTAACCTCTGACTCTCGCAGTCAAGATTAGGAGGGGAGATCGGAGGCGAAAGAGCGAGAAAAAGAGAGAGAGAGAGAGAGAGAGAGAGAGGGAAGATGGGGGAAACGGGACAAGAGAATTTCGCGCGACAAAACGATTGCTTTTCCGCTCGCCGGATTTTTATCGAGTTATCGAAACTCCATCGACACCGAGACAAATTTCATTTCACGCTGGCGCAATAGCGAGCGCATCCGTGGAATCGGGACCGTATCTCGCACACTCTAGGCGTTAATATTAGATACTCACGTGAAATTTTTTGCACAATGTTGACAATGTCGATATGTCCGTGCATATTTTTTATTCTTTCGACAACCGACGAAAAAACGACGACGATGATTACGGATCTTACGTTAGTTTACTGCATGTCCCTTTTCCATTCTTCTGCATTTAAAATGAAAAGGATGTCCATTTAAAAGCGTACTCTGCTATTTGAGCTTCGAAGCAAAAATAACGTCCAGCGGAATGCACCTTGAGAAAAAAAAGAAAAATGAGAAAAGACATAAAGGATAAAACAATAATTGAAACAACAGATATCGTAATATAGCAAGACAAGACCCAGGTAGCAAAAATAACCGACAATTGTATTACGTGCTCTTTGTCAATTTTTCCTTTCCGTCATTTGCGTTTATTATTAATGAGCACATTGTTAGACTAATACTTTATTGTAAAAACATTGTTATTTCGTGTTTACTGCGGAAAGTGGTCATATTTCTTCCTCATCCTTCTCCTCAAAGATATATTTTCACTTACTTGCATTATTTTACGAATTTCAAACTATTGGGAAATGGCGGTATGTATTAGTGTCGAAAATACATAATAAATTAAGGTAGAGATTGCTCTCTTATTTCTATCTATCGTGCTTAATCCGGGAAACGGTTTGTATAAAATGTTGTATTACGAGTATACTGAATAAATTTCTCACCTGCGTAATTAAAGTCGATGGTGATTAACAAAAATTTCGTAGAGAGAAACCTGCGGAAGCTGCTTGTATTCACGCTGAAAGGTTCGAGCAAAATAACGGTTTTCAATATCGCGTCACTTCAAAGCGACAAAGTTGCGACATCTTTAGTTAAGTCAACGAAATGTGCGCTGCTTTACCGATATCAGATAATTAAATTTTGAAGTAATGCGATGTTGGTAAAGCAGTTATGCAATTGCGATTTGCGCCATCTTTGAGAATCGATGAGAATAAAACTTCATCTTTCTTCCGGTTTCAACGCCGTGCGTCTCGATCTTTCTTCTTGTCTTTCGAGAAAAAGTGGCAGCGAGTGAAACGGCAAGATGGTGAGTTTTGCGTTCGAAATCCCGTTTTTTCAGCGAAATCCTGCACGATGCGTGCCAAGCGTTTGAATGAAATGATAAGTCTATCACTGCTACATTTCTTTTGAGAATATTTTTACGTACACTGAGATTAGGCGCTTTCAGTTGTATCGCGCTTGTAACTCATAACCTTTACGGACGAATTCTGCAATTTCAATTTTCCAAGTGTACTTTCCGCGACACTTTTGCAAAAGTCAGACTTGCAACAATTTTCCAAGGCAATTTTGCATTAAACTAAAATTTATCAAATGGTTCGCCAATTATATTGCATCACATGTTTTGAGATTAGCTGCGAGCATGTATACAACATTTCAATGACTAATATATTCTAATTATTTAGTCGCTCGTGATTCCTGAGAAGTTTCAACACATTCTTCGTGTCATGGGCACGAACATTGACGGTAATAGAAAAGTCATGTTCGCTATGACTGCGATTAAAGGTGTCGGTCGACGTTATGCCAACATTGTTCTAAAGAAGGCTGATATCGACTTGGACAAGCGAGCTGGAGAATGCTCTGAGGAAGAAGTAAGTTGACTTATTTTTCTACAATAAAAAAAAAAAACATTTACTTTGATATTGCAAGATATATATACTCAAGATGTTTTTTAAAAATGCTTTCAGGTAGAGAAAATCGTCACTATTATGGCTAATCCTAGGCAATATAAAATACCAGACTGGTTCCTCAATAGGCAGAAAGATATTGTCGATGGAAAATATTCGCAGGTATGAATTCATTTATCTTGGAAAAAATCTCTCAATTTCTGTTGAATTACAAATATTTCATCGAAACTATAAAATCATACATTAAAAATGCAACATTTTTTTTACACACATAATTAAATCTAAATGACTATGTCTCTCTGTGAAATCCAAATGAGTATAAAGATAATGTACACATGGCTTCCAATAATCGTTTATTTTTCTTTACAATGTGTCTTACAAATCTTATCGCACAAATTCACGACTGATTGTACAAACGTTTATTGTACATTCAGATGGTAGCTTGTGCAATAGTAACTGCACTGCTGTACATTTGAATTGCTTTGTAATATCTCTCATTATTCTAAGTAACAGGTACAAGTGCAACAAAGAGATCTAGTTATTTACAGATAAATGCAATTGCTAATAAAGAGATATTTTTAAATTTCATTTGTGTATGTTATATTGCAGCTCACGAGCGCCAACTTGGACTCTAAACTGCGTGAGGACCTGGAGAGAATGAAGAAAATTCGTGCTCATAGAGGTCTACGTCACTACTGGGGTCTCCGTGTACGTGGTCAACACACCAAAACCACAGGCCGTCGTGGACGCACGGTCGGTGTGTCAAAAAAGAAATAACTTATATATATATTATGTATATTAAGAATAAACTTTTAAACAATGAGTGCTTCATTCGATTACTCATTAATATTGAACAAAAAAGCAATCGCGAAGCATACGGCGCGATGTTGGATTCTGGAATCAACATTTGTCATATATATTACGTTTTATATAAATCTTGGAACAACAATTTATTTAGATCGAAATATTAATCTCTCTTGGTCCTGATATAACAAATCGCTTTTCAAGTCAAATAAGCTATTCTAATTTCAAGCTGAAAAAGCGAAAGAGTAATATGTTCTAAAAATGCAATTGACAATAGATAATAGAACATCTTCAAAATCTCAACGATGTATAATAAGCGTCTCCAAGTATACTTTGGGCACCTTTCCTCGTTGATTTCCTCTAATTCCCATGAAGTAATCTTCGTCATTGGGAATTACATAAATACCGATTACCTAAAATATATATATATATCTTATAAGATATATTTAACATTTGTCAAGATACCACAACACCTTGTACACTACGTAGCATTGACTATAATATACAAGCAACTATATAACATCAACAAATATACACAAGATATAGACAAAAGATACAATAATCTCGATATATGTCAACGAATAAATTGCTCTTAACAAAGTAAACATTTATTGATACATACATGCACAATTCGAATAAATATACAATAATTCGTTCATTTTAACCGTCCGAACTGAATATATTTCATATTTATGTTATCTTACAAATCTAGATGCGGGTAAAGAGTGTAATATATAAACGTTAACGATACATTGATTAAAAAATGAATAAAAAAAACTGATGCGCATATAAATCCAAACAAATTAAAAATTAAGATATACAACACATTTTTTATCATGCATAAATAGTACAATACGTATACATATAAGTAGAGTGTGAGTATAATGGATCATTTTATAGAGATAAATATATAAACTTCTTTAATCAAGATAATTAATATTTCGGATCATGTTGTACAATTTGTATATAAGATAAATATTATTTTTTTAAAACAAGTCGCATATATTTATTTACTCAAAACTTCGCAAAACGATATGTTTATGTCATTATAATTGCATTATTATGAATATTACTATCCTTACTTTCTACATTACATAGCATGTGTTTATTTATAAAAAATTGTTCCTTCTAATTGCTTTTACATTCAAACTAATTTGTATGAGTATCATAATCTTTAAAATTTCTCGCTACTTGTTTTTTTATCTCTGACACATGTGTGTAATATAACAAGTAATAAATGTTTTTTAGAATTTTTTTCAAGAAACATTGGTATATCTATATCCAGAATATGTATAATTTTGTAAATTAACAATTTATTACATATGAGAATAAATGTTTCAATATAATATTGTTAGTATCAACAGAGAGCTCTTAAAGATTTATATAAATATGAGCACATCTCGATTTTTAAAACTTGTAAAGTACTTAAGTCTAATGTGTATCAAGAAATGTAACATTTCAGACATCTTAATGCTTTCGGGGTAGATTTTTCGAATCTATGTCGAAAATTGACGATAAACCCGAAAGATTTAAACTTAAAACTAAATTTTATACAGAAGCCTGAAGAAAGAGAGATACAAAAAGAAAAAATTCTCTAAAGTATTGATTTATACAGAACTCGATAAAAAAAAAACATTATATAATACTAAGTAATCTTACAATACCATAACTTAATTCAAATAGAAATTCATGCCTTTCGCTCGATTATATCGTCAAACACATGCCGCCTAAATCACAAATTTCGTTACCTCGTCCTGCATAACGCTCAGCTCACTAGGATCCCTCGCGTCGTAATTGCACAATACTCTCGCTCTGTCCTGATCGTTCTCGGATAGTGCATTGGTAGTGGCTGGTGGGGTGGTATAATAGGGACCCCCAGATAAGCTGGGTAGGATAAATGATAAATGAATATGGTGCGCATTTATCTTTAATAAACTCATGTATGGGGGAACTCAAATATAAGAGTTTTGATGAGAATCATACACTACCATATACCGCAAATGTATCACTTTAATCGAACTTTAACTTCATTTTGATCAATACTTTGCTCTGATATCATAAATTATACATAACACAATGCAATAAATTTTGATCAAAGTGAGTGATATGTATTTTTCGACACATATTTACACAAAAGATGGTTTACATCGAGCTATGAAAGATATGTTATATCTATAACTGAGTACGCATTAAATATGTTTATATTTTACAACCAAACACAAATTGATGTTTTTAGAGAACAGGCACACTCACATCATCAAGTTCTACAGTTGTTATTCAGCAGCGAGCAAAATAATTATAAGTGTTTGATTGTGCTGAATTAAATCAATATGCATGCGTTTAAGGAGATTGAATTTTGTATTATGTTTCTTACTCAACAAATTAGTCTGTTTTTGCGAGCATGTGTATTTTTACATAATTCTACCAGGATTACATGCATTACTGTTATAATATATTTTTAATGTCAAATATGAGATAAATAAAAATTTAATCTCTTAATATAACATAGATTGAACATTGTTATATCTTGGACCAACAAGAAAAGCATGATATACATATATACCTATCTACAATTATGTCACTGTTTAGTTACATGGCATTATTACAGCACCGAGGATTAGTTTTTCCTTGATACCATTATAACTATTCTCGATGGAATTACGGCGACGTAAAAAGTAATTGCTTTCAAAGGACGATATTAGAAATGGAAAAAGAGATAAGATTGTAGATCGCCGTACATCATTGACAAGGAAATTTATCAAGAGAAATATTTTGTCTAAATATGTACAATTATTGCATATATAATTATACAAAATTATAGAGTGTCTATTCGACGACAAGTTTGCAACGATTAAGCGACAATCGAATTAAGCTCGTGTTTAAACTTAAGAGCGCGCGTACGTAGATTAATTTCAATAAACATCGCTATTAGAAAAAGAGAAAATTGTATAACAACTAACATAATAGATCTGTTAATAGGTATAGATTCAGAATTTGTAACAATCCGTGAACGATCCCTCGATGGGGTAAATTAAACTTTAGTATTATCAGTGTCGAACGTGGCGGTAACATAAGCGGTAGATCCGGTTGTTATAGATGAATTTTGAGGGCAGATAGATGAATTTACAGGGAGGGTGGGCGAGGGAGTTAACTCGATCACTTCTTCGCTGTTGACTCTCAGCAAAGGGCTCGGTTGACGTGCCCTGTAATTCCAATCGTGCAAGCAGAGACGGAGAGAAAGAGAACACTCGAACATAGGATGTGAAGGCCAGAAGCGAGGAATATAATTAAATATAATGAAAACAAGAGAATCTATTATACTACGTTGTTATAAAGCTTACAGGGATAGGCTGATAAGCGATTAAACGGCATTAGATCTGGTATAATAACTTGATCAACCGCCGGTTTCACCAAAGTTAGCCATCTTTAAACTTTAGTTTTGTTGTCTATAATTTGAAGATTAAAGTTAACTGACATCGTGTTGAAACCGGCTGCACAGGTAATGTTCGGCAAACCACAAATGCCGCGTCTTTCATACAGCAAAAGTTTTATATATTACTGTGGAAAATTTCATCAAATTTCATTCAATATTGTTGGTCCAAATCTATGCCTGCGATTACTCTAAGGAGAAGCGGAGCTCGCAAGCTCGATATCTAAAAACAGTTATTAGTCATTCAAGGTTTGTCAAACATTACTCACTCGGATCACCATAAAGTAGGATAGCTGTACAAGAAATGTCACAATGACACATACAGTGCGAGGACAATGATATGTGGAATAGATAAGAGAGCACATGTTGAAAAACAAAAGAAAACAAAGCGTACAATAAAGCAGTTTACCCGGCAAGCTCGCGCTGCAGATCCTGCATGACGGCGTGACACTGCGCGTAATGGCGAGCTTGCGCCTCCACAAACTCGTGCAAACATCGTAGATGTCCGGCTTGTGAACTCGAGACACCCTCCAACAACAGTTTCACGATCTCTGCTTGCCGATCAAACTCCGACTGCGCTACCCTTAGCTCCCTCTCTGCCTGAATAAGCAATACATATATTTTATTTCCTCTGATCTTTCTACATATTTCGACATTCGTTATCTAGTAATCAGGACAAATCAGAAAACTAAATATGAATTATAGCTGCAAAGCGTATTTTGCGAAAGGAAATAATTTGTTTCACAATTTGATAATTGTTATTAATTGCTCCTTTTGTTCATCTATATGCTTGCATAGAAAATACAAAAAAAATATTTAATATTTTATTCTATAATTTAGATTTACATGTATTATATCAAAAATATTGCATCGATATTACATATGCAGCATGCAAACATTAGAATTAAGAATTACTTGAAAAACATCCATAAAAACATAGTATATGACCATACAGATGATAGCTATAAAAATCTTTTTTATCGCGACTGTATTGAATATGGATCCCCGAATCGGAAAAAGCAATCAAAATTGTCGATTGCATTAATACCTGATCAAGCAACACTTCGGGTGATACGCCAGACTCCTATCAATTGCAGCAGTATAAAGGACAAAACACATTGTAAACATATAGAATGCATTTTTAAATGAAATGAATGATTAATGATACTTACACTCTGTTGACCAAGCATACTCCTTGCTTTCCTTACTCTACTTTTACACGCATCCAGATCCAGCCTATAACAATCGATTAATATCATTTAATATTATATATAGTACAAAAATTTTTAGACAAAAGAGGTAAGCAAAGCAATCTTATTACCTTTTAGTTTCCAATATTGCCATCTCTTTGCTAACAGTCTTCATCTCTCCATCTAAGAATTTTCTCAAAGGCTGTATGTAACAATTGGCAGCGGTTCCTATAAAATCTCTTTCAATTTGTCCCAATTTCTGCTGACACTGGCCAACTTTGATTAATGCACTACCTAAAATATGATTAAATTGATACTTTATATATAAAGTTTTTATGGTGTGTAATATATTCTTCTTTAAAGAATTCTCTTTTCATACTAACCATAAGCTATTCCTGGGCCAAAATCATTCCCAGCTTCTATCATATCAGTGCCTACATATTCCAAATTGCTCAACCGATTAGGTCTTTTCTTATCAATTTTTTCAAAAAAAAAGTCTTCGATCCTGTTGCCTACAATATATCAACAATCAAGTTAATACTGTAACATGTATTTGTACAGAAATTTTTATAAAAATTTAATTGGATATATTATAAAAGTTTATATATACAATTATAATGTATATGAATTCAAGTTAAAAAATATTTGGTACCAGGATTTGGAGTAAGCACAGCTTCCATATTCCGTAGTATCTTTTCCGTCCATGTTTTGGTGGCATTTGCTCTCTCGGCTAGATGTTCCAAATGTGCATCCAATTCTGTCTTTTCTGAAGTACCCAGTGTTTCCTCCGTTAACTGAGAAATACAGAATGATTTATATTAAATTTTTTTTATTAATCTAACGTCCCAAAGAATAAAGATTTTACTTTCGTGCGAAAATAAAACGATTATAGGGCAACATTAGAAATCTGTATTAATCAATGACATTACTCGTTGAAATTAGATTAGATATTTAGGTTAAACATTAGGGATAACATTGGTGTGCGGGTAAATTTAGAATTTTACAATCTCGCCGACGAATAAAATCCGACGATAATAATAAAGGGAGAAATCGAAAAGTTTATCTAATGACAAGTAAGATGTTCAATTCTCGAAACATTGAATGTCATTCTCGGTGACAGACATTAGATTCAAGCGTGTATACGTTTGCCTCTGTCTCTCGAGGAAACGAATTTAGACTCGTTTTAGAGAAGGAAAAAATTGCTTTTCCCACCTGTACGACTCTACTAAGGGCGGCTCCCGCATCCTTCACCAATTTCTTCATGTTAAAATCCATTTTCGCGATTAGACTTCACGCACAATCGAGAATTATTCCTAATGTACACCCAACCCTTCTTTTTCACTCTGTCCTTTATGTGTGCGTGTATTGTATATATATATATATATACTTTATTTTCTATCGATCATTAATACCGCGTGTCTCCGCAGAGTGGCGACTTATTGTCGCATGCGTATAGCACGCATTGGATCTTTAAATAACTCTCCTTTTCGCTGATGCTTGTTGACAAGACAATCTTTAAACAATGCCTTTCCTTATTTTCTACATCAATAGAAAAAAAAAAAGAGACATAGAGAAAAATGTCTTCTATATAAATTTTTATTGAGCAGCTTAAGTAGCTTTAGAAAAACACATTTATTCTAAATCGAGATTTTTTAAAGCAAATCGATCGCATTTAATTGTGAAAAAATAAAAAATGACTGATATAAGACGTTTATAGATTGGTATAATATTTAATCTTCAGGCAGTAACATGATAATAAATCAACGATAAATAAGGAAGAATTTGCACCAACACACTTAGGATACATACAATGTGTGAGATACATTGTATGTATTACAATTTTATTGATTTTTATCAATAATTTCATTTATATATTCAGTACTTTTCATAACGTTCTTTGTTGCATTCCACGGTTGCTTGTAATTAAATGCATTATCATATTAGTCTTAATCTCACTGTTTTTTGGAAAATAAATATCTCGTACAGTGTATATTAACATATACTGAATATGAACATTTGGAGATGAGACTTTGGTGAACACTCTGGAAGAAGTTTCCACAAAACATTACTAGAAAAGTTTAAAATCTGCCAATAAAGCTTTGCGATAAATAATTCTCTGTTGTAGTCGCCAAGTAAACTAGACATATTGTCGAGAAATTTCTTTTCTTTGCAGCTACTCACTGTTGACTAATCGTTGCTTATTTTCAATTTCTAATCTTGATTTAACTGAATTAACTATAGACGCGTGAAATTCTTCGTTAATATTTCGATCTTAACTTAATTAAGTATCTGGAACACATAAAAAGAAGAACTAGGTGCGGGATACATATCCCTTTAGGAATCTGTACAAAATGTACTGTTGAACAATATTCGATAGCAAAACATAAAGAAAATATAACTCGTTCAGAATACTCATGCTTAAAATTGGAATGTATAAATTAGCATTTGATCAACTTTGAACCAAGTAACCTTGGTAACATTTGCATAATTGTCTTTTAATATAGCTATGCACACTAAACAACTATTATTTCTTTTTTATACGGCAATGTCTTGTGCAACAGTCGCGAATCGTGTAAACTTGCGTCACGTTCGATCGCGCGACTATTTCTTTCAATAAAAATTCTTAATATTATATTAATACTAATAATTATCATAATATAATAACAATGCTAAATATGGTAATGATGACAATCATTTTTTCTGATAACAAAATCGATTCAGATATTCCAGACACATTGTCAAGTTACTTTTCAAACTTTGTCAATCAAAGGAATGTTTAATGTCTTTTTAGTTGTTTTTTATCAAAGCATTTATTATCCATTATCAGCCCACTGGGCAGTCATTATCAGTGCGATCTGCCGATTGCCGATAGCTTTCGCGCCCGCGCTCGGGCTTCCGTGCGAATACTCGTGTATTCGAACCACAAGACATTAGGAATTAAGGTTGTGTCGCGCAACAGCAGGTATTCCGATATTCGCCTGTGAAAGAATGAAAAGATTATATTGAATGAAAGATATTATTGCTATTATTATACTATTCAATCATTACTAACCACGAAACCACTATAGGAAAGAACGGCGTTAAAACCATATGGACGATTATGAACCATGCTGTTCCCAATGAAAGTCCAATTAATGCACCAAAGAATACTTGGGTACTTGAATGGTACAGTAGATATACTCTGCTGTAAGTTATCAATATGGCTGTGATAATGCATCCTACTGCTACTATTGTCCGCCAAAACCTCTCAACTATTGTACAGTTGTAATTTAACCTGGAATGAGCAACAAGATTCCACAAATTATCAATAGAATAAATAAAAGATGGTCATTTAATTGTGAAAATAATGAAATGTATATCTAATTTGTTTACCTAAAATATATAAAAAGTGTTGCGTATGTAGTAAAAAACCACATAAATTGTGCATGCGTAGATGGCATACCATATTCGGCATACAGGCCATCTCTCTTCATCGGCCTCGCTTCGCAGATTGTGTGTTTCAATACAAAATTTATACAATCATTGATAATAATTCCGCTAAAAAATACAATCTGTAACCAAAAAACAAATTATATGTTTGCAAATCATAAATTCCATTTACAGGCATTACATAAAGAGATAGTTGATATCAAACTATTATAATTACTTACAGTATGTAAATCTCTCCTAAACAGTATTAATGTGATAAAACCAGCTATAATGGCAAAGGGCACTAGACTTAACACAGCTAATAACTTTCCGAAGAGATCCCCTGAAAATTTAAATGTACATTATTATATCATGTAATGTAACAAAAGAAATTTGTTTTCTCGTATTCTTTTTGGAGAAAATACAAAAATAAGTTGTATCAAAATTTAAAAAAAAAAAGTAGAATTAAAAAGAAAAAAAAAAGATTTCTTCAACAAGTCTCGATATAAATTTGATTTGAGCGTGATTATTATTAGCAACCGCTTGACCATAGTTTTGTCGCCCAGAGCAGCAGGTATATATATATATATATATGTGTGTGTGTGTGTATATGTGTGTATGCGTGAAGCGGCAAAACAAACGCGGCACAAAGGCGATGTATGCATGTATTAATCGTCATTATCATATCGGTAGAAATGCAGTGATTCTTTCTCAAGCGAGATAGAAAACTCTGTTTCCCGGCAAGCGGGATTTTTAGACAACTCGCGGAAATATATACGAAGAAATGCGACCTTGCGGATATTCCACCAGTGTCAGAGACAACGGGATCCATTCGAGCTTATCGGCGGCATATGTTAAACGCGGCGCGATCTGATCAGACTCGTCGAACGATGCCATGTTATCGCAATCCTTGAAGCGGCATGTCTCGCATGGCGAACGGACGCGCATAGGAGAGAAAGAGAGAGAGGGGGGGGGGGGGGGGGGATAGAAAAAAGGAAGAAAGAGTGTTGTATTTACACCCGCGACTGCATTAATCACACTCAATCGTCACTGTTATAGTCCACCTGCTCGCCGGTACCGAACTGACCCTGCTAATCACGAAACGAGACAGAGAACCAAACGAAGGCCACCAAACGGAACGCCACGCAATGTTCAGTCGAACTCGATCGGTAATTTTGATACTTAAATTGCAAATTATTATAAAAAGGGATCGGAGGATCGATTTATCGTTCAGTAGATCGAATTCAATATCAGTGTAATCGTACAACTATAATTTGACAATTGCATAAACATGCTCCAGAACTTTCAACTTATATATGTATAAATTAAAAATAGTTTCGAAAAAAAAATATTAACAAATAAGTGTTACAGAGGGGGGATGAAGGTATTATATCGGATACACATAACTCTCCTCTCTCTTTCTCTCTCATAGATATACATATATATATATCTTTACATATTTAAGGAACAATACAAGCTTTTATTTTAAACAGGAGAAATCATGTTATTGCAATTCATTATAAATAACAGCATATACAAAAGACTGTGAGAGACAAGGCTGTAAGATGCAATCAAAAAGCTCATGTTGGTAAGCTATGTTCTTATCTCGTAATATCTTATTTCATTTTCCTGAAAAGTCAAATGATAAGCAGACAGACCGATTACATCGGTCTGCCCATGCCGCGTCCTGCTGGTGGGCCATCTTGACTGCTCTTAGGGTTTTTAATAGTTTCGTCGACAGACAGAATAAGGCATGCAGCCTCCGTGGCAGCAGTCAACGCGTTGATTTTCACTACTGCAGGCTCCCAGACGCAACATTGCATATTATCCGCAATATCCTCCGTATTGATATCGACGCCGTACCACTGCAAGCCTTTATGATGCTTTTGTCGTAATTTATTCAAGATATTCGTCGCGTCGAATCCAGCGTTATCGCAGAGTTGCCTGTATAATCGATATATTCATCATTTTATATATAATTTGCACATTTTAACGCAAATTTACAAATATTATATATACTTGTGTCGAATGTACTAACCTCGGAATAATTTCCAGGGCTCTCGCTATCGCTCCTATTAAGAGCTGCTCCTTTCCAGCGATTGTGCGAGAATAATCGCGCAGGGTCTTTGAGAGTTCGATCTCGATAGCACCACCTCCTGCTACTACCGCATCGTTCTTCACCATGCGTCTAACAACCATGATCGCGTCGTGGAGAGATCTCTCCGTTTCTTCCAAAAATTGATCCGCGCCTCCGCGTAGTATGAATGTACACGTTTTTGCTCGCGAACATTCATAAAAGATGTTGAACCTAATGAAACACAACTCAATTGTAAGTTGTCACACTTAATATTTATAATCATAGTAATCTTGGAAACCAAATTCTTTTACTTGTGTATTTAATTAATTTAATTACCTCTTATTTTTTATGTAAAAATTACCTTTCGCCACCAATCTGCTTCTCCTCAAAGACATGGCATGTTCCAAGATCAGAATCCTTGATATCATGCACCGTTGTTAAAATGGCTCCACCGCACGCCTTCATTGTTCTCTTGAGATCTTCATCGGGCACTCTACCGGCGCAGAACATGTCTCTGTCGGCGAAATATTGTGTCGCGACATCGCCAATCGGTAGTATAGACAGCACGACTTTTGCGCCGCTCTTGTGAATCTGATCAAGTTTATCATAAAGAATTTGCCATTCCGCGTCGACAATTCGCTGATATTCTGCCACGTTATCCACGCGCACTTCCGCGTTATCCCGTTCGGCTTTCAATTCCAATTCGATATTTAACAATGCAATCTTGCATTGATCATATTTTTTCGGTTGCATCTCAAATCCAGCATATGAGAATGTCTTTTTAAAAGCCACTCCTTGGATCAGTTCCGAATCTTCTAGCGCGCCTCCAGATACCTGAGTTTTATATTATTCATTTTATATTAAATAGCATCGAAATCTTGTGTAAAAATTTTAAATCGTATAATTATATACATGTGCATACCTTTTTAATACCAATCAAGTTAAGAGGAAGCAAATCATCTAGCATCATGACAGCTTTAACGACTAACTGACTAAAATGTTTCTTTTGTTGATGTATTAATTTCGAACTCATAGACGTAGCTGCACACTCTTCCAGAAGCTCCATCTGTTTACTTATATCACTTTTATCTATTTTTACGCTTAGTTCGTTAATCTTGTTTACTGCTATCTGAAGTGCACGGCGAAGAGCCTTAATAATTATACGCGGGTGTACGCCCTCCTCTATAAATGGTTTTATTTGTTTTAAAAACTCTCCTGCTAATAAAACGACGCTAGTCGTACCATCTCCCACCTATTAAATAGAGAAATATTTGAGAATAATTTCCTATCTTATTACCTATTGTTTTATATACTTTGATATTACAAACAATAATGTAATGTTTGAACACTGTTGAGACAATTACATATCTTTAAGATATTGTCAGTCTACAGATTCTAAATTTAATATTCTCTGAATTTTTATACATGTAATAATATTATTTTCATCACATTATTACATAGATGAGTGTTTAAGAAAAACACAACGATTTAAACTCTATTCAGAGGATGAAACAACATTAATAGACTTGGAATAATTCTTACTTCTACATCTTGCGATTTTGCAATATCCACTAGCGTCTTTGCAGCTGGATGAATGATATCTAACAACTTTAAGATGGTAGCGCCATCGTTTGAAATTGTGCTCTTTCCATTTTGATCGACTATAAGTTTATCCATGCCGCGAGGACCCAAAGTAGTCCTAACAGCATCAACAACGATCTGACAAGCATTGATGTTGGATATCACTTGTTGCTTCCCTTGGGTCGCATCCGTGCCCTCTTTCAACAGAATTATTTGAGGTTGCTGTAAAATTAACAATAGAGAAAATTTTATATATTTATAAAAATATGTTTAAATTATTTAAAATTAAATAGAATCGCGCGTGTAAAAAAGTACCCTCGCGTATTTTCCCATTTTTTGACGTTCGCGATACTTTTATTGTAAATCGAAATACTTAATCGCAAGATCAAACTGAAGTTTCGCGAAATATCCGGATAATAAATAAATGAAAATCGGAATCGTTAAACATCTTCGTCGCCAAGATCGATTACATCAACAAGCAGAATCGAATCGAGGGTGCGGCGAATAAGTACTTATCCTTATAAGGCTATAAGATCAGATCAAAGAGTGGAAGAGCTGACAGAGTGTAACGATTTGCGGAAACGCGTCTGTGAGTATAATGTTGATTCATTTATTACGCTCGTTTATCAAAACATTTCTCATCGCGAGATTGTTATATATTTGGTAAAAGTAAATTAACGAAGAATAATGAAAATGACGAAAAATATCGGTTTAGAGTCCGTTTTATCGAGATGGGGTTAGCGTGAGTCGAGAAAATGTTTATAAATATAATTCGCAATATAATTTTTGTATTGTTTTTCTATATTGAAACCTACCATGTTGATGCTTTTGATGTAGGATATCACACGCGACTTTGAGAATTATTTCTCGATATTTCTGGATTAATTAACGCCTCGTACAACGAAACGCGCCGACAAAATTCAGGAACAAAGAGTAGATGCTTTCAAGATTTCGATACAGAGGAATATTTAGTGGAATCCTCTATTCTGTAATATTCTATAAACTGTATTTTGTGAAATTTTTCGCCAGTTTATTTTACCGCCATCCGATGACCAATCGCATCGTTTGACGCGCACGATTCATAGAAATCGATCAAAAATTGAGGGTAGAAGAGACTTGCCATCTATATTACAATGTATAGTTTATGACTTGTTTTCTTTTCGTATGTAGCGAGCCGCGAGCCGCGAGCCATTAGTCATTAGTGTAGCCAGTTGAGCTATAAAGAATAGACCTATGATTATTTTTCGAAGGATAACCACACTTCTGTCAAAACAACTTAATGACTACAAGTGGTTGATTTCTCTATGCGGTTGAATAAAAATGCGGTTGTCTAGAAATATACGTCATTGATTTTCTTGCAGTGGAATAACGAGAACGATTCGCGCTCGAAAAAAAGGTATTTAGACTATTTCTTTCCACAGCTACAGAGAGATAGTTGTATTTATAATTTTTTTTTCAAAATAACTCGATTAATTTTTTTTCTATCTTTCTTAGAATCGCGATCCCATTAATATACAGTTTTTATTCAGGAATAAATGTTAAAGATTATATTGGAGCACTCATTTATATAAACTGTACGATACAAAATTTATCCATCCCTGCATACATTTTAGTTATATAAAACACATAAAGCGTACTCATATTACAAGATACAACCTAGATAGGATTCTTTGCTACGAATTTATTTTTAAACATTGCTATATTTATATATATCTATCTAATATTGTATAATACGCCCACTCTGTCCTCATGTAATCCCGGGGAACGAGGAAATTGAATGTATTTTAGTCGTTTTCGTGCTTTTGTCGTTGCCGCGCGTTCATACATTTTTACATTAAATTTTACATCTCGACGAAGCTGTCAATCGTCACGTGAACGAATTTATCAAGGTTTGAAAACTTTCGTCGATTAATCTTAATCTCTTTTTTTTTTTTTTGGCCAGGATCAAGTAGAGACAAACAGTGGTTAAATCAATTGAAAGTCAACCGACAGATGATATTGATCATCATATATTTATGTTAGGACGGTTCGAAATGTTATTTGAGATCAATTTCTATTTAATTTGTTTTCCTTAAATCTTTTTATTTAAATTTAATAGCAAAGAAAAAAATTTATGGAAATAGTTTTTAATCGAGAATTGCCGTTTAAAATTTAATAAATCGTCAAGGCTGTAAAATCGGTTATAAAATCAACTCGCTGGTTGAGCTTTCGTGCTTCGCGAGACACTTGGAAAAAGTTCAAGGTGACAAGATGCCAAGCATCAATGAGATCTTGCATCAAAGGCGCAAGCGCATCTCGTTTCGTGACAAACGAGTGAGAAATCGATATGTTTAAAATTTCATTTTCGCGTATTTCTTCAACGTCGGATTCGATTTATACCAGTGTCGTTCGCTAAAGCTTCCTCATTTATTTGCAACGTATATTCGCCACGAGCTTTTCCGGTTTTGTAACCGCAGAAAGTATCTTATGAATTTTTCATCGCGGAAAATGCAAATATCTTCAAAATTATTTCAAGATCCTTTGAGCTCTCTTGTTCTATGAAAAAAAAAAAAAAAAAAAAATTAATGTACGTGTATGAGAAGTCGTTTAAATATTTGTTACAAATCGAAAAGTCTCGTACATAATTCGGAGACATTCAAAATTATCGTATATATTCAAAAAGCGATAGAAAAAAAGGAGAAAGACCAAAACTTTTTTAATTGTAAATTCTTGAGTTTTTTGTTCTCAAATTTTGTAAAGGTTTAAACGGCTGACATTTTCAATCTAGCGAGCGTCACATTGAGAAATAAACTACGCGGGAAAAATGAAAACGATCTGGGTTATCGGCGGGCCGGGATGCGGCAAGGGAACGCAGTGCGACCGTATGATTGAAAAGTACGGATTTCTTCACCTGAGCAGCGGTGATTTATTGCGAGCGGAAGTAGCCAGTGGTAGCGAAAGAGGAGCGTCGCTACAGGATCTAATGTCCAAGGGATTATTTGTGCCAACGGTATAATATCTCACGCGCAATATTTTCACATTCGACTCATTTGAATCACTCACTATAATCATATTTATTATATTTATATATATAATCATATTTACATTAACTTGTATCAAAAGAATAAGATTGAAATTACCTGTGCACGTCGTTAGAGATAAATGAATAAAAAAAAAAAAACATCTCGCGCATCTTACGCGAACGAACCCGGTTTTTCTCAGTGTGAAGATCATGTGGTTTCGCTAGGACATTGTGCTGGCGCTTATAAAGGAAAAGATGGACAAAGCTCGTGAAGAAGAAACCACAAAGACCGGATTTCTCATCGATGGATATCCCCGTGAAAAGGATCAAGGCATTTTCTTTGAGAAAAATGTATGGCTTTCCTCCTTTTCTTTTTATCTTCCATTTCTTTATTTTTCATAAAACATTGATGTTGCTGTGCAGGTTTGCCCCGTCGACTTAATTCTTTTCTTCGATGTAGCGAACGAGACCTTGAAAAAAAGACTTCTAGGACGTGCCGCCGTATCCCAAAGAGCGGACGATAACGAGGAGACGATCAAAAAGAGAATCGAGATATTTAACGAGAAGAACAACGAGATTGTCGAACATTACAAAGACAAAGTTGTTAGAGTGAGTCTAGATAATTAATATAATTCTATTTTATTTCTATCTCGTGCATATTGCGTATTTTATCGATTTACGAAAACTAATTATTCTATTTTAGATCAATGCAGAGGGAACAGTGGATGAAATATTCACCAATGTGACAAAAGCATTGGACGCTCTGTTAGCTTAGGTAAATTGGCAAATTTTGAAGAATAGCAAGAGATCTATTGCTATCTTTGTTCATTCTGAGTAGTGTGATACTCTTATTGCTCATTCAAGTGAAACAGACAAATAAAGTGTTTCTTTAATTGTTAATTATTGAATAAAATTCTACCAATACGCAACTCTGTTGTAAGGTTGAAGTACAATATTTATGTTTTCTATTTGCATATTTCTCTATATTTGTTCTTTGAATAAACTTTTCACTAATTGATATATTAGATAAAAAGTTCTTTTAGAGTTTCTCTAAAAATTTCTGCATAACAGTATCTTTCTCTTTTCGTAGAGTAGGTTTTGCCATAGGCATCATATTATCTACGTAACTTTTAGCATCTCTGGCAAATTGTACAACCATAGGTTTATCTTTTAATATATATCCATTAGTTTCTTTGAGAGCCAATCTGGCCTGTGAAGTATTTTGTAATGTGATGAAGGCTTGGCCTTTCATTCTGCCCTCTTGCATGAGCCGTACATCATATCTGTAATACAGATATTAATAATAATACATTACGAGATATAAATAATAAGATATAATAGTAGATACATATTGTATTTGTATGAACAAAACACACTTACTCAGCTTCAGCATCTTTCAATCCAGCAATAAAATATCTTTTATAAATATAATGTAAATCCTTTGTTTCTATCTGCTTTGCAAGGTTCTTTATATAGAGACGATTGGAAGGTTTGCCTAGATGATAATTTTTGAACACTGGCAGTAATCTCTGATCATTAATAGAAATCCTATTAGCATCCAATTCCTCAGAAGTTATATATTTATTCTTTTGCGTTTCTGCATTTTCCTTACTATCCTTTGTATCTTTGATAGTTTTATTAATAGGAGATATTAAACCAAATCCACCATCTATTGCTATAGTATTATCTTGTTTATTAGTAGATGCTTCATCTAATGACTTATCCAAAGTCTTTAATTCGATTTTAAAGTTTTTAATCTCTTCACGTTGGACAGACTCAAACATATCTTCTGGTTTGAACACTTTTTGCACAGATGAAGAAGTTGTGATACTTTTGGCAGGATTCACAAACTTTGGAATTTTTAAACGTTTTTTAGATTGCGGAAGTTTTCTTTTAACAGGAATAATATTTTGAGGTCCAACATCTTCTCCATCTGATTCTAATTCAGACTCTTCTTCCTCCTCCTTTGTATGTTCATGTAATATATCTATATTGAAAAAAATGTTTATTTAAAATTGGTTTCTTTATAAATTTAATACATTTATAAATAATTTTTGTAAATAATCTCTATTATATTTATATTTTTATTACCAATGATATCTTTGTACTTCTCCACATTGTATACTTCTTTGAGCATAGGAAATTCTGCCTCCAATTCTTCAAAGGGAGGTGGTAGATTCATTTTATTCATTAAATGCAACACCTATAAATATATACAAGAGGTATAATTTTATCACATTATCAATTAAAATTTTAATTGTTAAATAAAGTAATATTTCAAAAATAATGTATCTGACCTGTGTATAAAAAGCTGGTTCTTTCAATAGCTGTATAGCTATTCTTATCAATATACTTTTTGTCGGTGCCATATATTTATATCTTATATTTGACGGAGGTGGTTGACTAAATTCATGATTCATAGTCCAATTGTTTAACTTGCGCAGAAATGCTTGAATATTAGCTTTATTAGTAGTTTCCACTTTTGCCTCGTTGCTTGGTGGTGGCTCATGTTGAATATTTTGTTCCAATAATTCAGTGAATATGGGCTTTTTGGCATATTGAACTGACAGAAATTGTCCTCGAACATTTAATTGATGCAAACGCATGAGTGCTTCTGCTGCCATTTGTTGAGAAGGAAACTTGGCAAAAGTTACAGTATACTTATCGGAGAATCGAGTTGTTTTTGTTTTTATTGCACCATACTTTTGTAATAACGCACTGCGTCGATCGTTAGAAAGATGCGAAGGCAAATGAAGAATCTTTAAAGTGTCGCATGCCTGAAAATATATTAAAAATCAGAATAAACAAATTGATGATAGATAGGTTAAACAAATAATTTCAATTTAATTAAAGTTGAAGTTAATTTGTATCTCAGTCATACTGTGTGTATAAATATAAAGCATTAAAATTACAGGAATCATTTTTGATGTAAATGGTATCCTTTGTTATTAACTTCTTCTTCTTCTTTGGTTGAATGGCTCCGGGCCTGACTACACTGGCCCACACGGCCAAATAATCTTTGTTATTAAAACACACACACACACAACTTTGATAAAAAGTAAACACAATCATAAATTACAAATATCTAGATATGATATATCATTGTCGAAATCGTCCATATTGTATTGCTTGCACTTTCTAGGAAGCTAGGTTTTTAGCGCTATAAGAACTGTTAATAATATCTAGGGAATTTAAGGCGCTCTAGGAAATTTTATAAATTTTGTGAAGCTTTCTATTCTTCTCTGTAATAGTTTATGATTCTAATCTCCTTGGTGATTGCACTTGCACTTTGGATTGCTTTGGATATTTGAATGATAAGGAAAAGTCTTCACGTAAAATTTGAAAAGTAGAAAATTGTCAAAACAAAAAAAGAAAAAAGTGAAATAGTAATACAGCGATAATTAGAGAGAAATTGACCGTGTGTAGAAATAGTTGGAAGAGTTGCGGCGCAAAGTGTATTCTTAAAGAATTGAACACGTAAAATATGCAGCAGCAACAATTTTATAGCTCCTGTATTAAAATAAACGGAATACCTCTTCTTTCACCGTTGGTAAATATCCGTAAACTAATAGGCTTTGATATTTTTATTATAGGATTGCTTTATATTAATATTATACTATTTTCAGATGACTGACAGCATCAAAGAAGAAATGAGACATTATAGAGCTTTGGCAATTAAAGTAGAAGAAAAATTCAGAGATAGGAAACTTGTTAAACGCAGTATTAAAGATAAGTGCGTACAAGCTGATGTAATAGAAACAATAGATCAATTAAAAAATATCAAATATGATTCAGACAGTGATTTATCCAATCATGATACTACGAGCGATACCAATAATAGTGACTCGCATTCTAGAACGACTATTGTTGAACCAGTGCCAATGATGCAAGTTATTGGAGAAACAAGAGACAAATATGATAATCAGTCTGCTGCGTCAGATGTGGAACATTCGCAATTTCAAGTTTGTTTAACAGATAATATTGTTATTGATACAAAACCTGCAATTGCAAAAACTGATCAAAGTGAATACATTAATGCAACAGAAACGCCAACAGCGAATGAAGATGTATCATCAGAAAGTAAACCCAAAGTTCCAAACACACTGAATATAGTTCCAATAGTATTAAGTAATGAAGAGGACAATATTGGTGCAGTGACTTTCAAGGAGAATGAGAGCCCACCTAAATTATCGCGTCAAGGTTCTTACATATTGGATACACCCAGTCCTATGTTGCTCGCTCATATGCATACAGAATTGAGTGATAAGAATTATGTGCCCACACCTACCAGTAATATATCACGACGAAAACAATGGAACATGGCACAGCCTAAAATAAAGTGGGAAAATAAGCAACTTATAGCAGAGGACACCAAACAAGCCTCAAACAAATTAGAATGCACAACAGATGAATCAACTTTTCATCACTCAGAATTTGATACTTTAGCAGAATCATATCAAGTAGATCAATCTGCTAATAGTACCAAAACAGAAGTTGCTGAAGAACATGTATGTAAATTCAATATTACATCAACTAAATACAGTGATATATCTGATACAAGTCTTACGAAACAAAGTTCCTTAGAAAAATTAGAAAAAGATAGTGGTACTTGTGTATCAAAGTTACCAAATGAAAAACCTGTAGAAGATACAAATGGTAATAAATCTGAATTGTCTTACGTAGATAAAAACAAGGATCGTGATAAAATGGAAGATACCAAAGAACATCAAAATTTAGTAGTCAAAACAAAGTCATCTATTACACCAGAAAAACTTTTGACAGTCTACAAAGAGATTGAAGAAATGCATAAGAAACAAATGATGGAGCTGATATATCGCCAACAAAAGGAACAATTTTTGCTACAAGCAGAATTCCAGAAACAACAAATGCTTTTATTAGCTGAAATAGAAAAGTGTTCTTCCAATATATCGTATGAAGTAAATGCATCATCAAATGTTACATCAAATCAATTATCAATAAACAATAAAGAAAGACTAGGAAACATCATTAGCGAAACGGGACAGGAATTAAATGTAAACTCTGCTAGCAATTTAAATGAGGAAGCACATTATAATAATAAATCATCACCAATGAAGCATACAAATGTCATTGTATGTCCGCTAGATTATATTTCTTCCAAAAATTTATACTTATTTAAACACTATAAACCTCCTTTTTTTATTACGGACACTTCTCCAGCAACTTCTGATTACGATTTTACGAGAGAAGTAACTTCACGCAATACTACATGTAATAATAATAATAATAATAATGATGATGACGATGACAGCAATTGCAAAATGCATAATCATATTGTATATAAGAATTCAAATGTGAATCGGCAGTTGTTTCCCTTAAATAGTAATACTACACATGTCCCAGTACTAGATACTTCAGTATACCTCGATAAACATGTGAGTATAATTGTATAATTTTAATTGTTATAATTAATATATTTACATACACATACAGATATTTAATTTTGCATATACGAATACGTGTGATTATGTATGCGCGCACATATTTTATTGTTAATAAAGACATTAACATTATATTGTTATATAGATACAGGCAGTAAATATTATTAATGCTTATACACGAGGTTATTTAGTGCGAAGATTAATGCGAACCGAACGCGTGATTACATTAAAAAAAATATATAAAGAGGCATTACAATGTATGCTTAAGTTGCACGTTGACGCACCTTTAAATTTAGCGGAAGTAGATTTTCTTCATCGTCTCCAATTGCAGGTAATTGCTCAGAAAATTATATCCTTTGTATTTTCAAAGATCAAAAGCATGTAATAATTTTACAAATGTTTTCAAGTGTGATGCGGCATCTATGAATATAGTGGATTTATTTGCCCAGTCCCCGATGAAGAAAATGAAAGTAATAGCGCGAGATTGCGAAATTAAGCAATCTCGAACGGAACGTCCGACTTCGTCTCGATCGTATTCATTCGCCACCCAAAAGACTTTGGCCAGAAGAAATCTGAAGGAATTCGAATCCACGTAATAACATATTTTTCTTCATTACATCACTCTCCTTTCATCATTGCGCAATTTGCATTATTGAGATGCATCTTCGTTTTTGTTTAGAATGACGAAGTATCAGCGACCGTTGGTCGTTAAAAAAAATATCGTTAGATCAAGGTGTCAAACTTGGACGTCGGATATAAGAGACAGACTTATGTCACCAAATACGTTGTGTAAGTTTATTTGATACATTTAATCTTTGTAATAAATAAATAAATATCAAGAAAAATATATTTTTAAATTGCAGATCAAGGTATCAGAAGAAGTACTAGCGCCGGAACTGTTCGGAAGCCCTGGCGATGATGAGAAAGAGTGCCTTGCGATATTAAGCGATACATCAATCTTACTATTAAAAAGCGGAATTACATACATGTGCGGCTCTCTTAAACTGACAATTTAATTATTTCTAGCGCCTCGCGCGCGTTAGCTATTCCTGCCTTAAAAAGCGCACTATAGTGCCTAATTTTCCGATATATTTATTTTTTATTATTGTCATTTCTTGACTGACGTAATATTTATCTGTGATACGTGTATATCCAATATATTGCTTCCAACTTTATATTTATTGAAGCTAAAGCAGAGATTTATTATTATGCGAGAAGACCTCAAAACATAATATATATATGCAAAATATAGAGGTAATATATGATATATATGTAAATTTATTTTCCGGAAAAAATAATGCAGAGAAAAAAATCCTCTCTATAATGAAGAATACTTTTTTATGTCGAATTCTGTATTATAATATGTAATATAGAGGAGAAAAGGAGGGAGTATTCTTTTTAAATATTATATCGTGTCGCGCATTGCATTATAGGTACTGGTTGGAATTGAAATATAATGAATTTACTTTTAGCTAGATTATTAATTATTTTTACTATAATTTACATATTATAGTATGTATGTACTCTTAATAATAATAATTTTGTTATAAATATAATTTAAAAGAGAATATCTCTCTCTCTTTCTCTCACGCACAGTTTATATTTCGATCGTTCTCTTTCTTTATTACAAATGCTCAAGTTATAGGCGGACAAATGCATGTTAATTTTATTGCGTTGACATACTTTGAGAATTATTACAATTCGTCTCGCGCCGACATGACTTGCGCGTATCGTTCTCGTCGGAGTAAAAGCCCTGCGGATTTCCGTTCGCCGTACCGAGAGCGGAATCTGAGCCTGCGCTATGCTTTGCAGAGGCGTGTCCTGGCTTACACGCTCTTATTTAGTAACATAGAGGCTTTACTCGTCCACGATCTTTCGGGATAGAACGTGCGCGCGCGAGTTTACTCCAAAAAAGGAAAAACATCAAGAAACACGAGAGCTTCCGCGGTGGATCCGCCGCCGCCGCCGCCGATCCGGCGATAAATAAAGCGGCGACCGGAAGAGGAGAGCGAAATTCTCAGTGGAAAATGTAACGATTTCGAGAAGCCTTCTCGCAAAGAGGGAAGAGAGAACGGCAAGGGTGAGCGAGAGAAAGGAGGAGAGCGGCAATTTTCTAATTTCACGGGGAGACACGCTTTGTCATCGGGAGGGAAGTTGATGGCGTGAGACGTCATCGGCGCCTCGGAGACTCTCTTATTTTCTTCGCGGAAGTGTGAAGCGCTTCAAAATCCAGGTAACCACGTTAATTATTGCGCATCGAGTTTACATCGTCGCGAACAGCGTCTTGAGCCGATGAAGATGACACATTTTGATTATCGATCCACAACAGCTTCTCGAAAGAGACTCGCAAAAAGAACTCGCTATCCCCGGAAAATCCGAGGATTATTCGCAGGATGCGACGCAAAAATATGTCGGAATAAATTTTTTTTTTTTTTATTTCGTCAATAGAGTGTTTTGTTTACGTTTGATGCTCGTGTCTCGTTTTTAATGAAAATTAACAATTCTGTATCTACGTATATATACATATATATATACGACTCAATCTATATCTATGCGGGACGTCGCGCGAGCGTTGCGTCCTGTTGAAAGATACGGTCTTGTTTGAAAATATACAAAACGCATGTCCGGCAAGATTAGCTTTATCTAGCGAATTCTATTCCGAGAAATGCACATTATAGACAGTTGCATGCGCGGTATAGCGATATAAAAAAAGTCTCCTAGCCCCGCCGAGGCATACGCTAGCCGTGGCGATACAATTTCTTTTGTTATCATCGTTACCTTTTTTCCTTTTTTCTCCTCCGCATTTTGAGATATTTATAGAAATATGCGTTTGACGCATATGCACGCGACGGTCTTGGAACGATCTCCTTTTACGTTGCCGAGAACCGCCCAGAGATCGCAAATTATCCGTTCGCCTAATTGTCACTTAACACCCTTTCCAGTAGTTTACGGTTTATCATTGATCGAATGAATAGCTATACATATATCTCGTTTCTCAACGTTATTACATACACGAGCCGCCGATATTCGCGTCTGGCAACAGGTTACCCTGTGCTACACACGACAGAACGGAAACAATCATATGACCGACTTTATCGTATTATATATATATATATCGCCGCCTCAGATAGTTTAGGTTTAGAAGATGATTGATTTGACGCTTAAACGGATCTTCGTATGCATGAATCCTAAATATAGTATTTATTTTTATATCGATATTAAAAGAGACACATTGGGGTGGCATTTTTCATATTCACGTAGAAGAGGGTATACGATATACGATCAGCTCTACACTGACAGACAGCCTGTTTTTATAGCCAAGAAAAATAACCCAGACGGTTTAAAAGCTCTGTCAATTTTCCAATGGGCGCTTCAGCGCTTTCTTTGTGGAAACGTAAACACATAGGATCGGTCGATGACTGCAGAATAGGCTGTCGTATTCTAAGGACATCGCGTGGAGCGAAACTACAAGCTACATATATCACAGAGTTACGGAGGATCTTAAATCACCGACGATATATCCGTCTCTCGCGTGCTTGCATCAACGTCCGGTGCAAGGACTGCATTGCTTGTCGCATCCGCGAAAAATGCGATCCATTTTCGGGAAAGGTCATGCGTGAATCGTCACGTTTACAAATCGAGTATCACGCATTGTAATAATTATGATCGAGTGGCGTTTTTCTCGAATCGGTCATTATATCTCGCGTATATATATTATCGCGTCGCGTGCGGGTTTTTTAAATTTTCCGGCGACAAATTTCCTCACGCGTCAAACGACACGCAGATGCCGCAAATCGTTGTAGCTTGTAATGAGAGCCAGGCTCTTTTGGCGGTACGCCAGACTTAAAATAACGGAACTTCAAATGGGCGATAATAATTTCGCGAAATGACAGTACGCGCACGTGTCGCAAGTCACGTAATGGAACGATAAACGTCGCCAAGCGAGAAACGAATTCGGAAACGCAGTATCGGAATTATATCGTAGAAGACATAAGACATATTTATATATTCGACGCTTCCTCATCCTCTCTGCCGCGGATTAATTCTATCGACGGGTTACGGTAAACATATATAAGTGCAAACACGCAAGTGTGTAATTAAAGCACTGACATTGTTGGGGAGTGTTGTCACGAGATGTTTCCACAAGCTGAGTGGCAACTTGGAGAAAGAAAATCTCCGGGGATTAGCAGGGAAAAGTGTCACATTTCTATTAATGTAATCCATTCTCGTATCCTCTTAGAGTCAAATATTCAATTCACCGTTTAACGTACAAGTGCATCAATCAATTTTCTACCGTTTTTATTATATATATATATATATATACATATATTTGGTACCATTGTTATTTTACGCGAGATTCTTGTTTAGTCATACTTTGCAAGGGGAACCTTACGCACTTTTCTCTATTCAGAGAGAATAATAAATACATTTCTCTATATTCTTTATTTCTTTTTTCTTTTTTTTTTTTTCATGAGAGTAATCGCTCTTGCTTAACGTTTCCGTTTATCTCGCACCTTTACGTGACATGAAAAATTGACTGGTTCATCGGTAAAACGAAGCGAAATGATTTAAAGAAAATCGCGAAAAATTTTTTGCTCGCTTTAATTTTTCAGAATGCAAGACGGTGCTTCGCTTCCTCTCTCTCTCTCTCTCTCTCTCTCTCTTTCTTTCTTTCTTTCTCGTGGCGTGGGATTTCCGTGGCACACATGCGTGGCTCACACAGTGTACATGGTGCACACTGTCAGTATCTGTCCTCCTGTGTACTTTGCGTTTGCGTTCTGTAAGGGGGATGGGGGATGGTTTTATTGATCGTGGAGCAGGAAACGCTTTTGCGGCGCCGCGCATTGTGATCGTAAAATGAAGGAGCATCCGCGGAATCACCTTTGAGATTTTTCCTCCGGTTCGAATCTCCAGCTCGCTCTCGCAAACTCGATATCGATCACCGCTCCTCCGATTGTCATCTCTCTCGATATCGATTGCGCCGATGGTAGACTAAATTATCGTACGGCATAGGCATTTACGCAACGATTTCTTTGTGGGCGGAACCAAGACGGGCATCAAAGATCTTCTTCGTAGATTTATGCATTCGCGAACGACTTTGACGATGCGAAAAGAAAATTCCTCGGAATTCGACAAGAAGAGCTACTATAGCTTTTATCCCTTTTATATCTTTTTTTTTTCTCGCTTTATTCCCGTAGCCTCGCAACATAGATACAAGTATCGCAAAGTGTGCTTTAGTATTTAATTACTTTACGGCATGCCCTTTAGAGAACAATGACACACAAAGCGCGTGCTCGTACATAATAAATATAACACGCACGACTCAAACATAATGTTTTGTAATGCCATTTACTTTTGTCTCAAATGTGCATTTGTTATGCGTAGTTGCGAAAGGGGCGGCTTCGTCGATGCATAAAAATATAATGGCTTCGAAACGCAGTTTGAAATATATTGGATCAAATATTCTTGAATTCTCTTCAAGCAGAATTACAATTTCGTTAAAATATGAAGTCGCCTCGCGCACGTAAAAATTTTTTACCGGTAACATGTATCGTTTTATCGATTTTTCGTTTCTTACATTTCTCAATTTCACGAGAAATGTTTGACTCTTTCCACATTACAACTATAATTCATTAAAGTAAAATGTGTGAATTAAATATATAAAGTAAAGGGTTTCGCAAAAACAACAAGAGCGAAAACGGGTTAATTAAGAGCCGAGCGCGGTAATAATTGCGCGAATATTTTATTCATTTATTGTACGTTTCAGTTCTGGTATCGGAGCATCTTCAGCAAGTATTGACTTGCACAAACACTAGTCAATACTTGCTGAAGATGGTCAGAAACGTACAATAAATGATTACAATAATTAAAATATTTGCGCTATTATTACCGCGCTCGGCTCTTAATTAGCCCGTTTTCCCTCTTGTTATGTGTTGATTAAATTTTCAATCAAAATATCTTTCTCACTTTCGATACAAGGAAAGCGGATAAAGCTTTGCAAAGTTGTTTCTTTAGTTCATTAAATTGATTATTTCATTTTATGGATTATGCAAATATTATATAACTTTGATAAAAAGCAATTAAATCGTTCTTCGCTTTGTTAAAACATGGTGGCTAATTATCTTATGAAACTTCTTCTTTCATTAAATGGCTTGTTTCATTTTATCATATAAATTATGTATATCTCTGTAAGAGAAAGAAAGAAATAACGATGAAATCTTTATTTTATTAAAAATGGGAACCAAGTTTTATCAGCTTGTTGAAAATAATGATAAGGGAGATAGAAAAATATAGCACGTAATTATAAATAGTTTTAAACAAATACAAGTCATCTATTTTATAGTAGTATTTTATATATATATATATTAATAAATTTGTGATGGCGGACGACAATTGTAAGCGTTTTTCCGGCTGAAGCGAGAAGACGGAAACGCTACGCGTTTGTAAGAAGAAACCTTTTCACAGGACATGTGAAAATGCGTCGCCGTGCAATATGCTTTAACATACGCGCGATTCCATCGCAGTGCATCCTGTAAACCCTGTAAATAGATCCTGTAGGCTTTAGATAAATAGAGATAGCTAATTAGTCGATGCTGAGAACGAGCGAGAGTTTGCCAGAGCAATGGACTATCGAGCAGCCGGGAAATAGCGCGATACACTTGACCCGAGCAAATTTCTCCGTAGTATTGTGTTGATTAATTTCTATACGCGATTGTGCATTCAATTGTTCGCGGTATAGCTCGCTCACGAGGCATATATAGATTGCTTTATCGGCATTTCGCGTATTTAACAATAATGCCATTTCTCAATCTGGCATTTTCTTTCGCTTAATTAATAGCATTAATAGCGGTTACAAGATTACTCGGGGGTCTCTCTTTCGATGGATGTATTTCGTTGCTCCACGAAATTGCAAATTATCTGCAAGAAAGAGAGAAAAGAAAAAAAACAATCAGATTGCGAGATGTAATGATTTAGCTAGATTTGTAGAGAAAGAAAGAGAGAGAGAGAGAGAGCGAGAGAGAAAGAAAGAGAGAAAGAGAGAGAGAGAAAGAGAGAGAGAGAGAGGCAGAATTGTTAGCGAGGATTATTAGCGAGATTGACTGAGCCAAGGGTTGTCTTTCCGGTGTTGCAGGATGCACGCGGTTGGATTGCACTCTCGGCGCTGCATCAAACGTCAGCGAAAGCGCCGGGACGAGCAGCGTCGCGCTCGCGAGCGTCGTTATAGCGCGCAATCGGGCGAAAGCGGGCTGACGTCGCCTAGGGCCTCGACCGGCTCGCTGGATCATCATGGCAAGCATCACAAGGGCACGCATGGCGCGGCGCGCAACGCCGGCCAGGGGATGCTGGACAGCAAAGTGGTCACCTCGATCGGGATGCTGCACATTGGCGTGGTGTTCCTCGTGCTGGGCGCCTTTCTCCTGATGAGCGGCCTGCTGCCGGGTGATCTCACTCACTTGGGCAGCAAAGCTTCCGGTGGCTGGTGGAACGAGCTCGTCGCCGTGGGACTTTTCGCGATATTCCTCGGTATCTTCCTCATCGTGCTCAATCGCGTCATCGCCAAGAAGGAGGAGGACGATCTGGAACAGTACGTTCAACGTCAGCTCACCAGATCCAGATCCGGCCATCGATTGGAACGGGATGTGGAAACTGGCGGGCTCACCACCCGCCACGCCAGACGGGCGAAGCAGATGAAGCAGGATATATCCTCGGATACGTCTCTCGAGATTAAGGACGAAAAGACCGTCGATGGTGATAGATCGCCGTCCAGAAGCCCGCCACCGGCGTACTCGCCGCAGATCGCAATCAACGGTGACAATCAGGCGGTGCAGTCAGCTTTGTACCTGGAGCAGATTACCGAAGAGGAGATTATCAGCGATCGCGTCGAGACTTCCACCACCAACAGCCTCAGTCCGGGTTCGCCCAGCGAGACCCGGGAGTTGCTGCAGAACGTACGATATTCGAAGCAGAACGGGAATCCGCAACAAGTTCATCGGCCGCATTACGTTTCCAAGATTTAGATGGTAGGATAAGCTTGAGAGAGGCCGCGTTGCGAGAGGACGAGACGCGATACATAATCATAACGATAACGCAACGACAGATTCCGTATCGCGAAAAGAGCTTTTTTATCCAGAATATTATTATTACTTCAGTATCTCTCTTCCGGAATCACAACGGAACATTATCACACCATCTCTGGGAGTCAAAATTTCGCAGGTTAAGCGTTCATGTTGTACGATATTCGAAGCAGAACGGGAATCCGCAACAAGTTCATCGGCCGCATTACGTTTCCAAGATCTAGATGGTAGGATAAGCTTGAGAGAGAGGCCGCGTTGCGAGAGGACGAAACGCGATACATAATCATAACGATAACGCAACGACAGATTCCGTATCGCGAAAAGAGCTTTTTTATCCAGAATATTATTATTACTTCAGTATCTCTCTTCCGGTATATATATATTTATATAGTGTGTAAGTTTCTCTCGCATTTAAATCTAAGAGTATACATATTAAAATTAGAAATACTTGACGTATTAATCTCGATTGTAATTTTGTTCTTTACATATGATAGATTTACGAAGCACAACACCTTTTCAAGGGACGCGTATCTAACAGAAAATACCTCTGGCTCTAGATACTCGAACGTCCTCAAATAAGTGGTACAATTATATTCTACATAGTGTCGCGCACATATAAGCACGCGCCTATCGTATGTTTGCAAACTTTTCAGATTTAAATAAATGTATGAATCGTATATCGATTATCGAGACGTAGAAAGTCACATTTCTGGAAGAAACAAATTTCTCTGTAAAATTATTTGTTATCGCACATTTTTGTTTCGCGCTACTTTCGAGATTCTTTGGAAAATCTCGATTGCTGGTTTTACATTTTATAGTTTATATATATAGTATCGCGATACAAAATAGAAAAATAGAAATGCATTATCCGTATGATACAATGAGATCGAAGGATGTTAGATGTACGATTCGATTACTGTGATGAATTAAATGGCCGTTGCGTTAATTATTAGTCTTTTTTCGAAAGCAATTAATTCTTTAATCGCGATAGAGAAATTCCATCTCGTATTCGTGGCAATTGCTGCGAGCAATCTTACCCATTAATCGTAGCTATAATCGACGAGAAGAGCCGGCATTCTTGATTTTGCGAGAGAGTAGTAAAGATAATTGAAGAGGGGAAGAGAATTTTAATGATGAAAGTATTGCTAGAAACGCATAAACGAAACTAAAATGCTCATTTTATGAATACATTACAGGATCTCGACGAATCTCTTCTATATTACCGTTACACCTGTTCAAATTTTTCTCGAAATTTCAGATACATATAACTAACAATAAGAGAAAATGTATCAAGAGAAGAAAAATGTTACCGCTTCTCATTTAACGGCGTTTTACACGTTGGACTGAAATTGATGTACGTGTGTAAATGATAAGCGGCAAGAACACGATGGATGTGCATATCTGTATCTCTCGGGACAATTTAAGGATATTACCATATTTATCGCGAAATTTAGGGATACAACGTGCAAGAGGATACGTTTGCGTAGGGTCGGAATTATAGGGAATAGAGACAGGGGAGGAACCGGTATCACAGCCATCGTTTATCGCATCGTGTTACCGAATCGATGTCATCTTCATCCCCTTGGGATCCGTCCTTGGGAAACGTATCCGTAGAAAGCTAAGTTATAAAAAGATTACGCGCGTTACATGACGAAGAAAAAAAAAATATTGTTGTAATCGCCGTTATATAATAAACTAAAACGCGCAAAAGAGTATTACTTGGCTGCTATTGCGACTACTCTACTGTAGCTATTTTAATCGAGTTCTCAAGGCTTTCTTATGCGATTTCTCTATTGTACCACTTATATACAACTTGATGCACGATTTTTCGAGAATAAATATTTATGAAACGCTCCATTTTTAATGAATGATTCTTCTTTTACACTTAAGATATTTCCGCTTTCCATTCTATAAAAACGAGTTCATTTTCCTATCTTTTATTTTACTCCTTAATCAGAAAGCTTTGTCTACATCAGACTGCGTTGCATTTAAATTATTTCACGTGTATCTCAAATTTCTTACAGAAAAAAAAAAAAAAAATTGAAATATTGATTTCGCTAGAGGAAGAAGTAACGAATATCGCGTTGAAATAATAATAATAAATCTTAACAAAACGAAAATATAGGATCGTTAAGATTTTGCCTGCGGTACCATTTTTCTTTTTCTGCCCTCGGCCTCCTGGAACTTTGCTGCATCGACTCCGGGCTGTAGGGCGGATGCAATGACGTATCGACCGGCCCGAGGTCAACCGGGGTCACCAAAGTTCATAGCGCACTTGGCGCAAAAGTACCGGTGTCAGTCCGTATCGCAGGGTATCGCCAAAAAGTGTTTAATCTCTGTAGCTACGTTTTTCGAAAAACATCCATCTCTACCGTTGACACGTACGAAATAATAAATATTGTTGTAATCGCCGTTATATAATAAACTAAAACGCGCAAAAGAGTATTACTTGGCTGCTATTGCGACTACTCTACTGTAGCTATTTTAATCGAGTTCTCAAGGCTTTCTTATGCGATTTCTCTATTGTACCACTTATATACAACTTGATGCACGATTTTTCGAGAATAAATATTTATGAAACGCTCCATTTTTAATGAATGATTCTTCTTTTACACTTAAGATATTTCCGCTTTCCATTCTATAAAAACGAGTTCATTTTCCTATCTTTTATTTTACTCCTTAATCAGAAAGCTTTGTCTACATCAGACTGCGTTGCATTTAAATTATTTCACGTGTATCTCAAATTTCTTACAGAAAAAAAAAAAAAAAATTGAAATATTGATTTCGCTAGAGGAAGAAGTAACGAATATCGCGTTGAAATAATAATAATAAATCTTAACAAAACGAAAATATAGGATCGTTAAGATTTTGCCTGCGGTACCATTTTTCTTTTTCTGCCCTCGGCCTCCTGGAACTTTGCTGCATCGACTCCGGGCTGTAGGGCGGATGCAATGACGTATCGACCGGCCCGAGGTCAACCGGGGTCACCAAAGTTCATAGCGCACTTGGCGCAAAAGTACCGGTGTCAGTCCGTATCGCAGGGTATCGCCAAAAAGTGTTTAATCTCTGTAGCTACGTTTTTCGAAAAACATCCATCTCTACCGTTGACACGTACGAAATAATAATTTGCTGCTTCGATTCAATATCAAGAGGTATTTAAATCGCGAGAGATATTTCGGTAATTCGTACAAAATAATATTTTCTAGGTAATGCAACACAGAATAGATGATGTGTGTGAGATTGATAAACAATTATTAATATATTAAATAAAGAGTTGGAATAACTTGATTTTTGAAACCACGATATTTTAATTAAAAAAATAAGACGTGATATATCTCTTCAAATACCGTTTTATAAAGATATCTCAATATTGAATTATAAAATAGCAAATTATTTACAGAGTACATTTTCATTCTCAGAAGAGACGGATCTTTTATATCTACAAATTACATATATGTTTCTTTTTCTTTTTTTTTTTTAAGCAAAGAAAATATTAAAAAATGGCTCAAGGAAGGAAATATTAAAAAATAACTCAAGTATGTACTTGAGTAATAAACATTTATGTAACTTTAGTAATAAATTTAAAAAAAACTGACATATATATTATTTAATTCGCAAATAAACTCATTACGAGATTATTGTCGTTAATAAGTACTCTCTAATTTGAGTTTAATAGAACGTATTTATCAAGTAATGTAATTGAAACAATGTTTTTCTTTTTGAACAAGAGAGCGGTATACTTGAAACTGTTTGCCTTCTGTTTGATCAGGATGATTGGTGCTATGCCAGCGGTGGCGGTTCGTCACGAGCGTAGAAGGCAAGAAAAAAGGCTGAAACGGCCGAGTCAGCTCTATTTGGGAGGGCAATGGCTACCACCCCTTCAAGGTTCACCACCCACCCCCAGTCCGCACAACAATGTAGATCCTTTGCCCGAGCTCTACTTATGCGGCAAGGTAATAATTATCGTAATAATCACTATATAAAGTCAACGTTCAAAGACCTATACCTAATATCTCTATTTAGATTAAAATACTTATTTTGCGCTTTCCTAGAACATACAAGTCTAAGTATTATATAAATATATAAAAATTATAGCATAATGAGAAACTACGAAGAACAACTTGCGCGATATAGAATATTCCAATCTTTCCATTTTAGAGCGTTTCCACAAAAAAAAAAATATTACAAATAAAATTCCTTATATTAAAGATAATCAGCGATTGCATTTTAAGAGAGCGTACCCTCTTCAAATTTTTATATGTTACGTTATATATTCTAACATTTATTTTGCGATATAAAAATCAATATATCCACAATGGCAACTTGCATATATATAACATGTCCAATTTTGATCTATTTGTTTTTCGAGAGAGAATTTTATATATATACATATATATATATTTTTATATGTATATATAAGCGATAAGAAAATCTTTTCATAATGATAAGTGCAAACGCATATTCGTCGGCTGATGAAGGATCATTGCCCGCAGATATCCGGGCTGCATGCTGTGGTGGTGTGCCTGTTGTTGGGCGCGGTGGTGCTCGTGGTCGGTCTCGTCCAACTCGCTCCGGGTGCAACGACCACCAACCACAGATTGGCGTTACTCGTGGCAGGCGCTGCCCTAATTATACTGGGTGAGCTTTCTTATATACAAAAAACCTTCCTTTCTGCCACCCTTCGTTAATAATCTTTTGTATCGTACAAGATGCATACAATTTGCTTCTATAAATAAAATCAGTGAAGGATCTTGACGATGTCAACAGCATTATCGACGAGATGCATGCTATCTGGATATAGATTGGTGTACATCCTTGCTAATAACGTTGTTGAAATCCCTGAAACATTTCCAATTCATTTTAGCCTAAACTTATTTAAACAAAAATATTAAGAAACGAAGCAATTTTTTATTCTCATGATTTGTTTAATATATTTTACTTATTCGTATGTGTATGTAATTGATTATGTATTTAAAACAAGAAATATATATATAAAACGTTCTTCATTAGTCTTTTGATCAATTTGTGGTCGATGTATTTTTCCTTTAAAAAATGTCGAGGCATCCACTATTTTAAGGGATCTTTAAAAGGTCTTCTTGAAAACTTTGTTTCAGAGAAACAAATTGATAATAGAATAATATTTTTAAGTTAATTTCAAGTAGATTTTCCCGTAGTAGAGTCTTAATTTCAATCTTTATTATATAGGATAAAATATGCATAATGTTGTAAATTGTGAAAAGTTTTATGGTAGATTATAAATTTTCTTTCTAGATTATAAAACATCTTCGCCAAGAAAAAAATTATCCAAAGAATCCGCATTTCAAAGTGCGTTTAACAAAAGAGGCACAGCTTGTGTATTTTTCTTTTACAAAATATATTTAACAATTTTTTTTTTCACGCTCAACTGCTTTGTTTCTTTTTTTAAATTTTATATACGTTATTATTCTATAGAATTATTATTGTTTCAGGCTTTATTATAGCGGGCGTAAGATGTTATGTGTTACATTGCATACCACTTCCGGTGGAATCGCCAGTTGCGACGCCTATTCCGCCAGCGACGAGTGAGCAAGCACCCGCCGTACCTAAAAACACCCTGGACCTTCTGGTTGGTCATCAGAATCAACCGGAAACGGACGCTCTGATGCAGCATAGGGAGCACCATCAGCATCATCATCATCAGCATCATCATTATAACAATCACAAGCAGAAACGTAGTTCTCAGGGCTCGCATTCCGAAGAGGCCTAAAATATACGAACAAAGAGAAGAGGTATGCGTGTATTTGTTCGATGATTTGACTGATATGAGAGAAAACGAAGGAAATTTCGATTCGCGCGCGAATCGAAAGACAAATAAGGTAAATTTTAGCGAAATCTTTTTTTTTTCTTCAGAAGGAAGAAAGACATATAGCCATTCTTTCGTATAATGTTTTAAAGTATATATAGAGTCTCCTAGAATATGCGGCGCGTCTTCTTTGTGCAAATATCATAAAGAAATCGGATAACTCACACACGTCGATGTCGAAAAAATTTAATAACTTGATTATAGCGATAAGATTTTACCAGCACTCCAACACACCAATTAGCAACCTCGATAACTTTTTTTCCAGAAAAAATCTAAGCGAATCGGGGAAAATGTTACTCGACTGTTACTAACAATCTTGCAACGCAACGTCATAAAGCGACATGAAATGCGTCTTTTGCATAACAAAGATACATGTACATTATCTTTTTACACTCGTATATATGTATATATATTTATATATATATATATATATTTATACTTAAGCGACATTAACAAAAGTTTGTGCCTGCGCGCAGAGAAAGCTTCGTTCGATGTCAAATTGACAAATTGTTTGTGTTCGCTCGATATAATTATGGCCTTTGCATAATTTCATTGAAGGCAAAGGCCGTAAAGGGTAAATCGATATCGCTTGTGTATCGCGATATCAATTTAACTCTCTCTCTCTTTACGATTATATTCTTTTACGATTTTTACAATTTACGTACAATGCATAATGTAATAAAGATAATTCAATGCACTTTAATGACATGGCGTTTTCTGAGAGAATAATTCTCGGCGCGCGGACATGTCCGTCTATTGGGGTCCACTTAAAGTTATCGCGTGAAATTAAACACTATACACACACTAACAGTTACGCAAAAATATTTTACACTGACATAAAAAAGGACGATATGATTTCATATAGCGAGATTTCGCGATTCCATTGCACTCTTTTATTTTCTCTCATTCATCTAATAGTCGATATAAAATAAGAGGAGAGGCAAATGGCACACAAACACTCACACATATATACACATATACACGCCTATATGCACTTACACTTATATACGCACTGTAATTTAGTATTAGAGGACGATCGGTTATGTAATCGTCTGTATGACGCGGTCTGTTGCACTAACGTGTTACAGCTTTAGTTAGACTATCTCTAGATGGATGTTACATATAGATAGATATCCCTTCTAGATATCTGAATTTCAGCTGTAATATATACACAGTCAGAGATAGATAATTTCGTTAACCATCCGATTAAAGCGGTAACCAACGTTGGTGCAATCAGTCCTAAAAATAAATAACAATAGCATCCGTCTAGCGATAAATTCAAGACAAATGTAAACATAGTGAGATGCGAACTGTAACTGTAAATCATGAAAGTTCGAAGTATTCATCTAATAGCTCGTATAAGCGATACAGTATTTAACTTTCTGAGTATACAGTATTTTTAACTTTCTGACGCCCTTAACGCGCGTTTTATTTCTTAGCAATAAGGTAACTGTATCTACTATGGCCTATTAATTTTTTATAAATGAAAAGTTAATATAGATACATGTATTAAAATAAAAAAAAAAGTATTTATCAATCATCATTTATCATTTATAATATATTATCTCATTTTTAAAATTTATGATTGAAAATGACAGAAAATAATTAGTATCTTTAATTCAATGAGAGAAGAATAATCTCCTGTCTTCTTATTAGGCCATGTTTTGTGTGTAGATTCAGTTACTTTATTATAAATTATGTACACATGTACGCCAGACATTTGCATCTCTTTTGCGTAAACGTATTGTTACTTTATTAGTCAGCACTGCCTAATTTTCACGCGAGGCACGATGTATACTGTAATTGCTCTAATTGCCTTTGTAATGCGAATCTACTTGTATCATGCCATTTTAATCGAACACGAATACGCGGAGTGTTAATCCACTTTGCTCGGGCGCCTTTCGAAGTAAAATTTCATATAAGGATTAATTTAAGCGGTTGCCGATTCGCGCAATTTTCCACGTGCGAATCTACTCGATAGCGAATGATCTTTATTCCTTGGGCTTTTTGCACGATATCGCAAAAAAAGCGAGAAAGCAAGAGATACCTACATATAAAAAGGAAAAGATATATAGAATTATACTACTAGCAACTTAGAGATTACAAAATGCTATGCGCCATTTAATACGCGTTGCACATTATGCATTCATATTGCATATTACGCATTACACGTATCGTTTCTTCTTCTATAATATATAAGTCAGCAGATTGTGTAATATGTCTCCTATTAGACGAAATATATAGATATAGGTATGTAGCGTGTATATATACATAGTGCAAGCTTCGTGCAAACTGGCGATAAGCGTATCTCGAAAGTAGTTATATATTTATATAAAGCGCGTAGAACGCAACATATTCATTTAGAAAAAAAAAAGTTCTCTACTCGCATATGTATATACATATATAGTAAGCCCTCGTTGTTGGTTATTCCAATCGTTTGGCTGATTTTTAAAGAGCCCGAGATGATAAGTGCCAATCGTAGTAACTGCATAAAACGGTACTATTGTAGTTGCTTGTTGTGCCGCGCGTATCCGAAAAAGCGCGGGCCGTATTGTTACTTTTGCGTTTACGAGATATGTGTTGCTACAAACGTAAAGAAACAAAATAATACACTAATCCAAAACAAATTCCTCGTTTTGTCACGAATGAACAAACAACGAGATCTTATTGTATTTGGGCTTGCGTATATAGGCCCCGTAATATTAGGCAGATTATCTATGCTGCAAATCCAACGCGCTGTGAGAAAAAAATACTCTTGTTTCTTTATTACGTTACTCGCGTGTCATGCATACTTGAAGCGAAAATTCTTTGCAAACTGCTTACAAAGTTTCGCTTCAAAGCTTTCCTTCCCTTTTCATAATTTTCTTTTATTTTTTTTATCGCGGACAGAGTTGAAAACAACACGCACGCACGCACGCACGCACGCACGCACGCACGCACGCACGCACGCACGCACGCACACACATACACACATACACGCAACACATAAACTGTGTTTGCGATTTACAGACGTGGACTGACAAACTGACAATATACGTGATTTTGTACAAGAATGTATATCTTTTTTTACATGTCTATATATATGTAATGTATTTTATCTTTTATACGCATATATTTGTGCGTATCACACACTATCTATCTCATCTCATCACGCGCGAGAGAATAGTGCAGTTGGAGAGAACGTGGTTTCTCTTCTCGATAATTTACACATTTACATAATATTCTATCTCTCTTATACACACTTATATATATTCACGCATTATATCGATGACCAATTATCACGAATGAGAGAGAGAGAGAGAGAGAGAGAGAGAGACAGAAACAGAGGTGAATTTGCGCGGCGGAGGAGTAAAAAAGCGCTTTCTTCAAAAGACGATCTTTCAGATTTTGTATAAATTTATTATACAATATTATATGTATACACTCTATCTTCCCCTAATATATAATTATATTATATTGTTACACGCGTGCAGAACTATATCTGCAACTCTATATATGTATATACACGTTCCGTTTGCGCGGGCAAACGGCAATTATTATGAAAGTTTCGTCACGATACCTTGCCCAAATCTATCTTATAATGCGAGCGAGCTCTTCGCAAGTGATCGACAGTGACCGTTTCTTATCTCGTTGCGCTTTAATTCGGCGAAAATTAAATCGAGAACAATCGCACAACAGCGATATGCTGAACGAATGAACAGAAACGCCACTGTCATTGTGCGTGGAGAAGCGTGGGCGATATTAATCTTATATGTGATTCTACATTAAACAAAATTGTAAGCAAAAGTCAACTCTATCGCTATTTTAACTTTCAGAGTTTAATAAAACGTTTTCACTAACAACAAATACAAAGGGAGGTTTCGTTGCGAATCCCATGAATAACTTCCATTTATTAAGAACGTCCAACTATTAATCCGAGTTTATAATTCGATTTTAATTTTGAATATATACAGCAAGGTTTCTCTTGTTTTTGTGTATATTTATATATGCATGTGTGCAGCGTACTTATAGGATTGGGAAATTGACAAATTAGTCGCATTTCAGATTCAATTCATGTTGATAGAAATTTGCAAATTGTAAATTTATACGTCAGATCGCTCTCGATGAGAGAGGCGAGCTTGAATTGGTTTGTTTTGAAAACGTCAAAGACGTCATCTCAAAAAGGGATAAATGGACGCGCACGCGCGCGTTTGACGCACCAGGTGGTCGTCGATGGTGACGATACTTTTAGCACAAACCTGGTGGGCGGTAGGGTGGCTGTAGGGTGGTTTATCGACCAGGATACGAGTCTCAAAAGGTTCAGTAGTCGTGGGACCACCACCCCGTCAAAACGAGCTTTTGTCGAACGCGAGCTTCGCGAACGCTTCGCAGTGCTCCCATTTTTCTCTTTTCCCCTGTCCCCCTTTCTCTTTCTCAGCTTTTCGTCTTTTCGTCCGCTGTCTCTCTTTTCCGCTTTCTTCATACTTTATACGGCCGTATAAATAAAGTACGTCGCTGGTCAGGGGGTTCCATATATCTCACGTTCGAGCGTTCAGCTAACGAAGTAAGTCCAACACACGCGATAAGTATGAGACGAGATGAATCTCTCGAATCCGTAACGAGCGATTGATTTGATTTCCTTCGCTCGTGAATACATTTCGAGAATTCGTCGTCTTTAATCGCATATTTCGAGCATATAATAGCTGTTGAGCATCCGCATCATAATTTTCGTAATAGAAAGTAGATACGTCACAGACGCAATGCTTCCATCAATTACGCGCTATAAACGATTTGTCCTTCGATTTTTTATTAATTTGAGTTCTAATTGGCGCAAAAAAAAAAGTATTTATGCATGCATGTATGTAAGCGCTTGCAAATATATATCACCCTTTATTATTTTCTTAGGATGAACAAATATGGGGCAACTAGAGTTATCGTGGATGTACATCATACTTTTCTTTTTCTGTTTTATATTCAATATTATATATATATATATGTGTGTGTGTGTGTGTGTGTGTGTGTGTGTGTGTGTGTGTGTGTGTGTGTGTAACTTTCTATTCTATATATCTCTCATCTTTGGAAGATATGGTGAAACTTATCCGTTCGTCAATTTCTCCACGCACGCACGCACGCACGCACGCACGCACGCACGCACGCACGCACGCACGCACGCACGCACGCACGCACGCACGCACGCACGCACGCACGCACGCACGCACGCACGCACGCACGCACGCACGCACGCACGCACGCACGCACGCACGCACGCACGCACGCACGCACGCACGCACGCACGCACGCACGCACGCACGCACGCACGCACGCACGCACGCACGCACGCACGCACGCACGCACGCACGCACGCACGCACGCACGCACGCACGCACGCACGCACGCACGCACGCACGCACGCACGCACGCACGCACGCACGCACGCACGCACGCACGCACGCACGCACGCACGCACGCACGCACGCACGCACGCACGCACGCACGCACGCACGCACGCACGCACGCACGCACGCACGCACGCACGCACGCACGCACGCACGCACGCACGCACGCACGCACGCACGCACGCACGCACGCACGCACGCACGCACGCACGCACGCACGCACGCACGCACGCACGCACGCACGCACGCACGCACGCACGCACGCACGCACGCACGCACGCACGCACGCACGCACGCACGCACGCACGCACGCACGCACGCACGCACGCACGCACGCACGCACGCACGCACGCACGCACGCACGCACGCACGCACGCACGCACGCACGCACGCACGCACGCACGCACGCACGCACGCACGCACGCACGCACGCACGCACGCACGCACGCACGCACGCACGCACGCACGCACGCACGCACGCACGCACGCACGCACGCACGCACGCACGCACGCACGCACGCACGCACGCACGCACGCACGCACGCACGCACGCACGCACGCACGCACGCACGCACGCACGCACGCACGCACGCACGCACGCACGCACGCACGCACGCACGCACGCACGCACACACATACACACATACACGCAACACATAAACTGTGTTTGCGATTTACAGACGTGGACTGACAAAAAGTTACTATACGTGATTTTGTACAAGAATGTATATCTTTTTTTACATGTCTATATATATGTAATGTATTTTATCTTTTATACGCATATATTTGTGCGTATCACACACTATCTATCTCATCTCATCACGCGCGAGAGAATAGTGCAGTTGGAGAGAACGTGGTTTCTCTTCTCGATAATTTACATTTACATAATATTCTATCTCTCTTATACACACTTATATATATTCACGCATTATATCGATGACCAATTATCACGAATGAGAGAGAGAGAGAGAGAGAGAAAGAGAGACAGAAACAGAGGTGAATTTGCGCGGCGGAGGAGTAAAAAAGCGCTTTCTTCAAAAGACGATCTTTCAGATTTTGTATAAATTTATTATACAATATTATATGTATACACTCTATCTTCCCCTAATATATAATTATATTATATTGTTACACGCGTGCAGAACTATATCTGCAACTCTATATATGTATATACACGTTCCGTTTGCGCGGGCAAACGGCAATTATTATGAAAGTTTCGTCACGATACCTTGCCCAAATCTATCTTATAATGCGAGCGAGCTCTTCGCAAGTGATCGACAGTGACCGTTTCTTATCTCGTTGCGCTTTAATTCGGCGAAAATTAAATCGAGAACAATCGCACAACAGCGATATGCTGAACGAATGAACAGAAACGCCATTGTCATTGTGCGTGGAGAAGCGTGGGCGATATTAATCTTATATGTGATTCTACATTAAACAAAATTGTAAGCAAAAGTCAACTCTATCGCTATTTTAACTTTCAGAGTTTAATAAAACGTTTTCACTAACAACAAATACAAAGGGAGGTTTCGTTGCGAATCCCATGAATAACTTCCATTTATTAAGAACGTCCAACTATTAATCCGAGTTTATAATTCGATTTTAATTTTGAATATATACAGCAAGGTTTCTCTTGTTTTTGTGTATATTTATATATGCATGTGTGCAGCGTACTTATAGGATTGGGAAATTGACAAATTAGTCGCATTTCAGATTCAATTCATGTTGATAGAAATTTGCAAATTGTAAATTTATACGTCAGATCGCTCTCGATGAGAGAGGCGAGCTTGAATTGGTTTGTTTTGAAAACGTCAAAGACGTCATCTCAAAAAGGGATAAATGGACGCGCACGCGCGCGTTCGACGCACCAGGTGGTCGTCGATGGTGACGATACTTTTAGCACAAACCTGGTGGGCGGTAGGGTGGCTGTAGGGTGGTTTATCGACCAGGATACGAGTCTCAAAAGGTTCAGTAGTCGTGGGACCACCACCCCGTCAAAACGAGCTTTTGTCGAACGCGAGCTTCGCGAACGCTTCGCAGTGCTCCCATTTTTCTCTTTTCCCCTGTCCCCCTTTCTCTTTCTCAGCTTTTCGTCTTTTCGTCCGCTGTCTCTCTTTTCCGCTTTCTTCATACTTTATACGGCCGTATAAATAAAGTACGTCGCTGGTCAGGGGGTTCCATATATCTCACGTTCGAGCGTTCAGCTAACGAAGTAAGTCCAACACACGCGATAAGTATGAGACGAGATGAATCTCTCGAATCCGTAACGAGCGATTGATTTGATTTCCTTCGCTCGTGAATACATTTCGAGAATTCGTCGTCTTTAATCGCATATTTCGAGCATATAATAGCTGTTGAGCATCCGCATCATAATTTTCGTAATAGAAAGTAGATACGTCACAGACGCAATGCTTCCATCAATTACGCGCTATAAACGATTTGTCCTTCGATTTTTTATTAATTTGAGTTCTAATTGGCGCAAAAAAAAAAGTATTTATGCATGCATGTATGTAAGCGCTTGCAAATATATATCACCCTTTATTATTTTCTTAGGATGAACAAATATGGGGCAACTAGAGTTATCGTGGATGTACATCATACTTTTCTTTTTCTGTTTTATATTCAATATTATATATATATATATGTGTGTGTGTGTGTGTGTGTGTGTGTGTGTGTGTGTGTGTGTGTGTGTGTGTAACTCGAATTTATTATTTATAAGAAAACTTTCCAGAGCGCATAGAGTTTAAGTTTACCTAGATTTGGAAGATACCTCTTTTAATTTATTCAAGGATAGAGATTCCCGATATAGAATACCTGGTTCGGCGGTTGAAAGCTTATCGGCGAAGCGTGAAATTTCCCTTGGATGTTAAATGTGCAATGGTGACCCATTTATCGATTTTCCGAGATTTTAGTGCAACATCGTATCTCCAACATTGTTCGCGTTACCTAAGGCGTTTTAAGTCTCCATTAAACGAAAATAGAATACGAATATCGATATCCGAAGAGAAAATTCGACAAATCAGTTTGCAAAATTGGCGCTCGTAAAATAAAACATCGCGCAACTTGAGTCGCGATAGTTATATTTCAGTGAGAGATATACGCGATATACACGAGATACTCGAGCGATACTCATCATCTACGACAGTCGACAAATATTGATATCGCCTCTCGTCATTGATTCTCTCTCTCTTTAAGGCCAGCGTGTCTAAAGCTAATGAAATCGCGATAGGAATAAACGCACGCGGCCATATGGCGTGCACCAACCTCGATTATCGGAAACTGTTATAGCTATTTTTCTGGAGCACCGCCAAACGCGCGGGATATCAACGGTAACAAGCACGACCCAAGGCAGCGGCGAGTCAATGCACGAAAAGTGTAGGTCGTTGGCATAAATTTTAATTTAAATACATTCCGTTTTCTCGAAAAGAGCTCGATTCGCCGGATTCACATCTTTACGAAAGAGATTTTCTACAGGAAATAATTATTATTGGAAGAATTGCGAATTGAAGAGCAGAGAGAAGCAAAGTATCTGGTTATTTCTCTTTCTAAATTTGAAAGCTGACGGAGATATCTCGCTAGATACTGCCTTTTGATCGTTGCCTAACGTAGAATAATCCGCGAGTTGGTACCTTCCAGGGTGAACCACCTCGATGTAGCATTGCCCCGTCTCAAGCTAAACTCGCGCTACAAATGTACGAAATTCGAATATCGAGAGATACGCCGCGTGTCATTAATATTCTCTTTTTCCTCCTCTACGTATCTTTTTCCAAGATTTTGGCAAAAATCCAGGCTGCAAGATAGCATAATACTAGTTGCACATTCATGCGCGCCTATAACTGGCCTACTCTCTTCGATGCACGTGGAGCTGCAACCATGACATCGAGGAATCAGGCCACTGTTCCACTTTGCGCCTTTCTAAAGCGATAAAGGTTGTATCCGTTTATTATGCACACAGTTGGCGCGATTCGGCATTGCGAAATTCTCGGCTTTTCCGCAAATCGCTATACAGATGAACCTTAGGTGTCCCAATAATAACAATTTTAATCATATTAAAATCGTTGGCCTAGCTAAATTATACGAGGGGGGGGGGGGGGTGACATGTTTTTCCGCTTAGTCTCGTTCCTCGTAAACGCTATCGCGCGACGTCATATTTATCTTTAACGCGTCGATCGAATCTAATGCAAATTTTGGATTACAAGAAGGAGAGAGAGAGAGTCTACTGTCGTGCGACATGGACGGTTTTTTAGCGGTGCAGCCTGCACCCCGCGCTGGCTTCGGTTGTTCGATAATCGAGGTACAAAGGCCATCGCCCCCGAGAACATATCTAGGCCACCGACACCACCGACCGTTTGCCACAGTAATCGCCTTCACCATTGCACATTCGACTGTAAAACACGCCGAGGAAACGACTACGCGATATAATTTGATACGAAAAATAGTTTGAGTCATGTGCCCGTAAAATTTAGTAGGCTTTTTGTACGATGTAACGACACAGTCATATAAACTTTATTACGATGATATATGGTTATAATTCGATCCTTGTGTTACGAGTATCACAATTTTTCGTACCTTTCAACGTTTTGACATAATTTTTTTCTGTATCGCATTTTTGCGAATGATGATCTCGATGATAAATTAAATGCGTTTATCCTTATCAGGATGATTACGGCGTTACCGGTACCTTCGGTGAAGGTCTTTCACAAGACCTACTACCAGGAGAAAGGATTGCGGATAGGGAATAGCCAGCCGGGAAGTCCATTGGCGGAGAGCGAGGCGGTACTGGCCATGATAGACAAAGAACCGCCAGAGTACTATTTTTGCGGAAAGGTAATAAGAACCTTCGACTTTTCGATACGATCGCTTCGTGGTTGAAAAACCGTTGTTGAACAAGCTGCTAAACTCGCTTTTTCATCATCCATGCGACAAAGGAGACGCTTGTATATATATATATATATATATACACGGTGTATCCTAAATGACAAAAAAAAACCTCTCTCCTCTAATAATAAATTATTCCAGGTAAATTCCCTGTACGTCGTCGTCGGCTCGCTGTTGCTGGGAGCGGTGGTGCTGGTTGTCGGTCTGGTTCAACTCGCTCCGGGCGCGGAAGCCGCGCAAAATTCGGCGGCACTGATCGCCGCCGGTAGTGGCCTCCTGATGATAGGGTTGTTTCTCATCCCGTTGAGAGCCGTGTGCATCAGAAAGCAGAGTGCGGCGCAAAAGGACGGCACTCATCAGCGGAGCGTCACCAGCATAGACATGCTGTTGGCTCAACACAGGTAAAAAACGATCGATCGATTTTCCTCGATACTTTCACCCGATACACAACCGGATGTTGCGCGATATTACACGCGGAACCATGCATGCTATTTTCTTCTTTTTTTCTCCAAGAGATGTACAATTTTTTCCTTTTGTATCCATCGTTGTCCATATCGAGTTTCAAAGTTCCATACAAAAAGTTCTCTATAAAAAAAAATATATATATAGTCATGATTATCATTCAAAGGGTAAAAATATCTTGATAAAATATTCTCTAATTCTCTATAATTTGCGCTTAACATTTAAAAAAAAATTTGTTCTCGAGTCGCGCGAATAATTATTCAGTCATAATTTGGCTGGAGGTGTAGAAAAGTCCATTCTATCGTATTTTTCTACGACTTTTGAGATTCGCTTGTATTTGATCGCTCGCGCTCCATCATCGTCCGTTGGTCGTATCGACAGGGATTTCACGGTCTTGACGCCCGACGAACTCGAGGATCTCGTGGGCCGGTCGACGTCCAACAACCTGGAGAACAAGCCTCTGAAACAAGGTCACAATACCTAGGTACTGCCTGCCTCGAGGAAGGTATTACCTTCCGCGTCAACCGCGTCTCCGCCGTGCACGAGTACCACGCCATCGTCCGTCACGTCGTCAGGACCAAGTTCCTCCATTCTGTACACGCATCGTTACGATACGCGCGAGCATAGTTTGGTTTAATCAATGTGTGCACTTGCTACATTATTTCCGAATAGAGCCGTCACGCATTTTCTAACGGATGCAAGATTGCGAGCGAAACGGGAGCTCTTTGAGCTCCAAGATTGCGACGTAGCACGACTCGTCGCAATGTAAGAAAGTCGCCGCGAGATACACACGTAGACTACGTCATATTCTAAAAATTCTCCGACACGGTAATCACTGCTTCTTTTTCGAGATTCTTCCTTTCTCTTGACTTTTTCATTCGCGTTTGTCATGTTGAAAAATGATCGCGCGCGCGAATGTTAATTCAAACGCATTTGACATTTCTTTATACGTGTAAATGACAGTAAATAGAGGAATCTAAACGAGTTATTTGAGACATTCGATATTCACGTATTGTTTTTTGCTCGCTGACCTTATGGTCTTAAAGCTAAATTGCGATACGTGATGGCAGAGGGTGTGTACTCTTAATTATGTTATTACAGTTGACGATATATCAGTCGGTCGTACGACATGGACGAGTTATAAGATGATTAGACTCGCACGCTAATTGCATGCAGCAAGATATATGCATGAAAAAAATATCATAGGGATATTTATTGCGAAAAATAAAGCCGACAAAGGCGACAAATTTCGTAGCGAAAACATAATACGTAGTGCGTGCAATCTTTATTCGTATTCCGAAGAAAAGCTCAAGCACGATAGCTTGGAAAGAACGCCCACGCGAGTAATTTGCGGAAAAGAGAAGAGTTTAAGTTTAAATCAAGTTCTGGCAGGGCCGAATTTAGAGTCTTGAAAGAGGGACAATCGTGCAGAATACGCATTTTATGCATTGATAAAACATGAACAATCACATAATATATCTCACGAAATAACTTGTTCCCCCTCTATCTTGTGCAATCGTAGAAACTTTTCTTGATTTTCTAAAGATTCTTATTTTGTGCAATTCCCATTTTATCCACCCTCACTTCCCCCGATTGTCCCTCGCACTCTTTAAATCTGGTCCCTCCCGGACGATGTTTCTAAATTTTCCGTGAATATATAAAGGTTCCGCGTGGTTATCGCGCGTTCTTCATCGTTGCACTAATTAAATTTCTTTTCGAATATTTTCATTATCTTATATCGAGCTAAATTATATATGAAACAAATTTATAATTACGTACGTATAAATCAGAAATCGGAAGTTCTCTCTTTAAAAAAATAAAAATAAAAAAAAAAAAAACGTGATTTGCTATATTTAAAGCACGCAGAAATGATTGTTTGTATTTCCAATCGAATGTGTGGTGTTTCAAGAATCAGAAATCTTTTACATCATTACGCACTTTCAATTCTTAGATTCAAAATGCAATTATCAAAGACAACAAGTTGTACTTTGTCCGTGTTGTAATACCATAGAAATTTTATCGACATCTTTTCGTGTTACAGATTGTTAAGAGAGATACTTTAACGTTGGAGGCACAATCTTTTTTACTATATAAATATGTAGTAACAAACGTTACTTTCTCAAAGACTAAATTGTGTTCAATTTATGGATGAATGAGTCTGATGAACCGAGCAACATTCTCGTGTATCTCTATTGCGAGTTATTTAAATAAAGATATATAAATTCGCGTGATATACCACCTACGTATAGATAAGATTCGGAAATCTTCCTCGATAATTGTTCCCTGCAGGACGATAAAAAGAAATAAGAGGATAAAAGAAATTATACGCGTAGAAGATTTTGTCATATGTAAATTTTACGAATATTTCTTTGTCAAATTATATTAAAAACGCGTACTCATCGTGTGCGATGATAAAATGACACAGAATGACGAAAGACATGCGATATGTATAGCCCTATCGATAGGCCGCGCATAATGTCAAGATCGTTGAATGGAAGGGTAAAACGGTATAATATGTTAGACCGAATGAGTAACGACGAACCTCACGCGCAATGAAACATACCGAGATCAATACGATATGCTTATATAAAGTGGCGTGCAAAAAGCGGGAATCGGCAAAGTGAGTGTGCCCGACATGGGTTTTAAAGTCCTTTAGCGAGAATCTAAGCGCCAGGCGCAATTAGCTCTCACCTTCGAAACTTCCGAGTTCTAATTACGAAATGAGGCCTTGATTTAAATTCTCGCTCAAACAAGGTCGAAACCGAAAAGCTTCTTCGTGATTGCCGATTTTCACCTTTTCCACGATTCGCAGCTTAGTATACAAATCGTAATTAAACGCTTAGGATAGATGTCAGAGTATCGAGTCGATGTTTTCGTTGGAAAAGTAAAAAGATCGAAACTTGATATTTGTCCATCATGTCGATCTTCTTTCGATCTCGTCATCTAATTTACAGATTCTTTAAATTCGAGAATTTTCTTATTTCGCGGATGCGAACAAGCGAAATATATGTAGTCTTAGCAAAGTAACATTAATGCGATTAAGTTTACGCGGAAGTGTAATCGCCTAACGTAGAAACATAAATCAAAACGCTAGAAGGCTAATAATAATAAGTGACTCTGATCACATGGTTTATCCACTATGTACGCTAGAAAGGATATCGTCTCAGTTTTTATCCCTAATCTGTAAATTATTCGCAAAATATCGATATTTCCATAAAATAAGCAAACTTTTGGATACGTATTCATAGACTTGACCTAAAACGCCAATCTCACTACTGTTTAATGTTTAATAAACAAAACTGGCAAATTATTTTTTTGTTTTATCCAACAAAACGTACATAAGTTTCTATAAAAATCCTAATTAAATATTGATTAGATTTTTACGTCGTTTAAACCAGCAACTAGAGATATTTATTTCTAGTGAACAACAAGCTTTGAAGAGGAAACATATCTATCGAGTCGGCTATATGAGTAGAGATATATTTTTATTGTCATTATAGTGGATATACGTGAAAGGAAGGAGAATAGCGATTAAGGAAAATAACTGTCCACATTACCCATATGCTGAGAGGCTTGCATTTGTCGTGAGATTCCTATTGAATGTTTGCCTTAATTTCAGAGATAAAGGTATCGTTGAACGTGAATGATAAATTCTATTTACGGAAAAATTCTAGTTACAAAGAGGAGAGCGCGATTAATATTTTAAAAATATTTTTAAATTTACTATATTTTTTAATTGCCATGTTTATCCGCGCTGGAGAAAACTTTATGCAGTTCTTGTAAACAGGAAACAAAGGAGATCGGCGCATTTCCGCTGATAGATATAATTTGCCGCGGTAGGTTTTTTAACGTAACTTTAAGACGAGTGCAACAAGGAAATAATCATCAATAATAACGCGAATATGATAATGGGAATATGAGTATGGGATTGTATGTGAGACGTTCGCATTTAATAGCGCGCGTAAAATTAAAAATTATAATTAAGAGACAGAATTGAAAATTATTCCACCGAGCATTATACTACATGTTATATGCGCGAATTATGTTATGGATATTAAACGTTATATATATACATGACGATTCCTTGTTGTACGAAAGGATTGGACATAATCTTAAGAGATTCAACGCACAGAATTAGCCGTAAGCATTTTTATAATGGTGTTCTATATATATATTAATATTATTATTACTTATACTATACTACTACTACTGCTACTATTACTACTCTACTATTATTACAGTTATATTACTACCCATCAAAGATAGCCCGATTTACTTGTGATCCAGCCGCGAATCGGCCGGCAGAAGTGTTCTTCGTACATGTTGGAATCATCGTCATAGGGGATTGGATAGTAATATGCCTAGCCTTGTATATACGAAAGTTTGTGTAATGGTGAAAAAGGAAAAATTTGATCGCGCGGGATGGTAATATATCGATCTTGATACGACTTGCCGATCTGCAATTTTTAATTAAAAACGTAAAGCAGATTATATCACGCGATGTAATCCTAAGATGCATATCGTATTTCGTGAGTCTTGATGAAAAAACTCGTCAGCTGTGTGTGATTGCAGCATTTTTTTATATTTTTTAATACATTTTACAAACATAAATTCTCTATAAATGTGCGCTATATTAACTGTCTCGATATATATAAAGGTACGCTTACTATCCTGAAATTATTTCAAATTTGTACGTAATAATATATGTTATTATTATTTTTTAATATACGTATAATCATCTATTATATTAAACAGCTTGAATGGAAAAATGACAAATTTCTTTTAACTAAAATTTTTGCGATTACGTGTACTTGAAAAAAAAATTCTACGCTCTTTTAGTTCAAGTCCCAATGATATCAAGTTTCCAGCGATATCTTATGCATATATAATATATATAAATACTAGGCGAAATATGCTGCAACCACAACTTATTTTGCATCATGTGAAAAAGATCTCTATAATCGTGATGCATATGAATACATTATTTAATATATTACGATATCATAGTATATATAATATCGAGAAAGTTTTACCGATAAGCTCTTAAACTTAAAATTGTAGGATATAAGTAAGGGGAATGTTATATCGCAAAGCGTTCGCGATGACGCGGCCATCATTGTTGAGGCTGGTCATCTTAGAGTGATAAAAGAAGGAATGCGCATTATTATTTTATTCCGTGCTTTTTTACCGCGTAAACATATAATTTCACCGTATAAAATTTTATTACTCGAATGATAATGATATCGGAGACGCAGTGTCATAATACGTATTCGAGATACAGGGATTTTGCGGATGTTAAAAAAAAAAAAAAAAAAAAAAAAAAAAAAAAAAAAAAAAAAAAAAAAAAAACCACCCCCCCAAGAAAAAACCGTACTCCCGGTCCCTTCTGTCACTGCCAAAAATTAATTATAATGCGACATATATAAAACGCGAGAGAATGTGGAAGCAATCGCGAGAGTGTCGGCTAATAATGCGCGGCTGCATATAATTAAACCTCAACAATATGTTCCGCCATTGTGAACATGTCGGAGACGTTCTGCGTAACCATTTATTGGGAACATTCTGACTTGCTTAAAAGTTTCGTTGATCCGTATATTTTGTAAGCAAAGAGAGATTATAAGATAATAGCAGTAAATAAATAAATATTACTACTATACGATACTTTACTTATTGGTGCGGTCATTATTCAATGATAGGCTTATTCATAACGTAGACAAAAGAAAGAAAAAATATTTAAAAAATTAAAGTTTTAAAAAGTGCAATATTTAAAATTTATGTCATCTCTCTTACTCAATTATTTTCTGTCCCGAAGCGCTATGTCAATTTCAATTTTCAGACTTAAAATTCTTACAAACGCGAATTTTATCTAGCGTTTCATCGCGTTTACTTGGTTATATTATCCCGATACTGTGCCCCAATATTTATGAGTATTAAAATTTTTAAAAAATTGTCAAATATCAAGAGTATATACCTACAGTCGATCAAGTAATTACAAATTAAAAACTCATTGATAATTTATCGACATTGGTAACTAAGAAAGCGTCGATAATTTCGAGAACTAATTACTCAAGGATCAATAAGTTACCAAAAATCTTCGATTTTTTGAAAATATAGTAAAAATGGTCAGAATATATATTATGTAGAAAATTTCAGTTTCTTCATAAATGGAAAAGTTAGTAGCACATCAGATTTTTATTTTCAAATATTGGAATTGTTTGAAACTGATTTTTAACGATTATGTTAGCTAACGCATTAATTAAAGAACTAAAGGATTTAATGCTTCAACTTGCAACTCAAGTTAAATAATCTTATTAAAGAAATTTGAAGAAACAGTTTTAAGGCAATAATTGGATTAAAATATATCTGCAATTTATGTTTGATATTGATTTCCTATTTAGTTTATTATAAATGTTCTATTTTATTATATTAAAGCTGGGATATTAAGGAATGTGTATGTTTAAATAACTAGTGTTTCTTTTATGTCGATACACATGTATCAGATTAGACTGGCAATTTTTTAATAAATTTTTTTCTCTTCTCTTTCTCTCCATTGCTTTTTTAAATCATGCACATTATTTTCTTCCACAATACTGATAATATCTGATAAATTATCAATATATATATGTATGTATATCATAATCTATCATAGAAACATAATATATAATGTATACTTTTAATAATTATTAGAGATATCTATGGGGTTATATATATATATAATTGTAATATTAAAATACATACATTTTTTCAACGACAATATGTTGGCACTGTCACTTTGGGACGTTTCTTTGATTCCATTTCTGAGAAAAATTCTTTGATGTCTTCTTCACGTACAACCTTTTTGTTTTCCGCAAACTTTTGTAGATATTCCATAAGTCGTTCTTTCATATTGTTGTATTCTAAAAACAATGGCAATCAGTTTATTATTAGCAGAATACAATATATGTGTTTCCTGTAATGATTTTAAAAATTTATCCAATAGAATAATTTGAATTTTAGTTTACCTTCGATTGCTGTCAACTTTTGTACATGTCCCATGCTTGCAAGAGCTTTCATACCTTTCTCATATTGCGATTCTTGCTTATTCATCTTGCCTGCTTCTTCATACGCTTGTACACTATCTTTTGGATCGAGTAAAAATGCAATGCCTTTTGCATTATACAACTAAAAAAAATATAATAAAAGTTTATCACAAAAAGAATGTACACAACATCTTTACAATTTAATTTATTTATAAAAAAGAGAGAGAGGGAAAGAAAATATACAACATTCAATATCTCACCGATTTGCATTCTTCACAAGTGCATAATGCGGCTCTCCAGCCTTCTATCCAAAAACAGCTTCCTTTAATATTAGCACAATTATGTTTTGGCATTCGACATCCTTCCGATAATTGATCGACTTCTATTTCTTCATTCTTCTCAGATACATCAGATTTTACATCTGATTTTCTCGAGACTTATAACCAAAGTACATGTTAATAAATTTATGATTAAGGCAACAATTTCATATTTCTAATAATCCAAATATCTAACCTGCATATTTTGATGCATATTTCCATAGAAAATTGTGTTGTTTCATACAACCCACACAAATCATTTCATCGTATGCATTATCTGCAGGTATACCATTGTCACATTCTAGATGCTAAGGGAAACAATTGTTAGATGCATAAATTTTATTTATCATTACATATATATATTTACCTTCAAATGATACCAATCTTCGCATATTGTACATTGGAACATGTCATCTTCATCGCCTTCAGGATCAGGATATGGTCTCGCGCAAGTGCAATAAACTCCATCAAAATTTTGATTATATTTATTTTCCGTATTGATAGCAGACTTCAGCTAAAAGGAACAATAAGCGTTAATTAAGCATAACACAATATAATTTTATATAATAAAATATACAAAATATTATACACAAAAGATTCAATACCTTCTCCAAATTACATTGTTTGCCATTAAACTTGGAATTTCCACAGTCGCATCTGAAATGTCGCTTTGTATACAGTTCCACAAGTTCGTGCCCTTCATGACAATGAAAACTACATGCCAAGCAAACGGCGGCTCGAATTTTGTCCGAACAACATGTTTTACACGCATACAATGCTTGTCTTATATATCCCTGCATATAATTATTCGTTTAAATAAAGTAACAATGTTAATCAACAATGGATGATTGTAAAACAACGCTGGACAAAAATAAAATTGCACATTTATACAAGATATTGAAAAATGTGCCGACCTTGTTATAAGTACAATTTTGATCATCGGAGGCGCCCAAGACTGCATATGCGTCTTCCTCGAGCTGATTCTCTACTTGGAGAACATCGAGCATAGTAACGGAGTTGTCGTCCTCTATCGATTCGGCCAATTTGTCAGACATGTTTTCGATTTCACGTTCGTAATCAACGGAAGAGAGCGATATAACAAATTCACCGCGACTTTACTTTAGAATAAATAAATAAAAACTTGGATTTTTCAATTCAGGTGTAAAGTATAAAAGGTTAGAGGAAACTACGCGTCTAAAGGATCGGTGGTAGCGCGGTTAGCATGCATTTTATCAGCGCACCAATAATCAATCACCAAACAATTTTTTTCCGTAAAAACTGCACGTTTGTTCCTTTCAATCGTGCACCATTACAACAATTTACGTTTCGCGATTTTGACGGAATATCCTTGATATTACAACATGTCAAAAGCGTTACTCAGCAGCGAGACAGCGAGAGACGCAAAATTCAAACCGTTCAGAAAACACGGCAGATCGATCCGATTGGCTATCGTAAAACGAATTCAATTGGTGGATCCACAAGTATTAGACCGATGGATCCACAAGTATAAACCAATCACCGGGCGCTAAGTAGTCGATCGCTGTGTTTTGTGAATGGAGCCATTGATAGGTTATGTAGTAGCGAGAGAGAGAAAAATACATTTGAAAATTTCACGTTTCTGTTAAATATTTGAAGAAAAGATGAATTATACAAGTACGCACGCTAATGGATTAAATTGATTAGGCGATCTGCAACGGCTAGAAAATTGTAGCAATGATTTGAATGTAATATCATCCGCTGCTAGCCGGCCGGAACCATCTTGAGTGTGTGGGATTTTCCCGCGTACTACACTACCAGTCAAGCAAGCGCCGCTCGCCGCTCGTCGCACGCCGCACGCAAGAGAAGCCGTTCGCCGTTCTTCAGATAGTGAATGCAAATGGCTGTCACGATCACGGTGTACGTGAGTATGTCGTCTCCCGTTCCCGCGTGTCCAATACGAGCGAGCATAAAATCATCGAGTACGACCGATATGTGATGATCGGCGGGTCGGGTCGTTCGAATATTGAAAAAAAGTATCGTTTCGTAAGCGCGACGTAAAGACGTGTGAAATTAGAGTATAAAAGATAGCGTACGGCCGCACGCGGGAAATCGCTCGTAACGGAGGGACTCCGGTAACCGCGTTGGAGACGAGTAAACGCGCGTTATCGTATGTGTGATGAATCGATAGTGATTCCACGATTCCAGAATTCGAAAGAGATCAACGTTAGATGGTTGTCGGGATTTTTCTCGATAATAATAATTATCCAAGTATATATATATATATATATATATCGACGAGGGCAGGTATAAATAACGATTTATTTCATGCGTTATCTACCGCATGCAATCTTTCCAAGTAAGTATGCTCCTTAAATCCCATTGTACACCGCGTGATTATGAATAGAAGTCGAATCTGTAACATAATCAATTTTTTTCTGTTATACATTGTATACAAGCAGCTAAATAATTATTTGACTATACCTTATTCTCTATATATTAATTTTTACATTTAATGCTTTTTAAAATTTTTCCTTGCATATGTCGTAGATGTAAATGGCTTTATTTTATTTTACACATATAAATATGACATTCGGATTATATTTCTTCCTAATTTGTTTCATTAATGCAATCAATCAAGAGCATAATGATAGAGCTGCGTATCCAAAATTGTATTTCTTGTTTAATTTAATATTTTATTACAGGTGTGTCTGTGTGATTATTAAATAATAAGGAGAAAATTTAAACAATACAATAAAATGCCTGCAGTCAGTATCTGCGATCCTATTGCGGCTAGGCTCCATTGTGCTTTGAATAGTAATTCTTCCAAAACCACAGATGATTTGTCCATTGAATTAGTCGGCAATGCTTCTCGAATTATGCAAACGGAAATTCGTTACGAAGAATTAAAAGATTATCAAGCGGCAAATCAGGTGCAAGCTAACTGCAACATTTTTCTCAATTTATCCGAGAATTTGGAGGAAAGCAAAGTCAAAGATGGCACAAGTTATAAGAAAAAGATTGATGCAAATAAAGGACCAGTTTTACCAGAACCAGCTGTCACTTTGTATTCTCCCAAGAAAGTTCAGCTGGGGTGGAAAGGCACATTTCCAGTTGGAGCAGGCATGTACAATATCGGGAATACATGTTACTTGAATAGTACTCTTCAAGCATTATTTCATGTTCCGGCTCTCGTCAACTGGTTATTATCAGATCCGCATCATAATTCCAAGATGGAACAAAATGGTAATTTTTTTTACTATCATATCATGTATTTTACTTATATTTCATGCTTTTCAAAACAGTATAAAGTTATAATGGCATAGTATGGTGTTTTGATAATAGGATAATTTTAGATGGAAATGGAGAATGCCTTACGTGTGCAGTGGCTAAGACTCTACAATTCACTCATCAGAAATCTGGGGGTGCAATCAAGCCATTTTATATATTTAATAAACTAAAGCGTAAGTATTTCCTTCACAAGTTATTTTGTCAAATATGTGCGTAGATAAATATTATAACAAGTATATAACATTTTCAGTCATTTGTCGAACTATGGTGCCTGGACAACAAGAAGATGCTCACGAATTTCTACGTTATTTATTGGAAGGGATGGAACGTACGTATTTAAATAGGCATAAAGCGACTAAATTGGATAGCTATTCTAAAGAAACGACACCTATTAATCAAATATTTGGCGGTTATATACGTACTGAAGTAAAGTGCCTGCAATGTCAACATGTATCTACCACGTTTCAACATTTTCAGGTAAGATGAAATTCTTGTATAAAACTGTAAAAGCACAAATTCTTACATATAATGTTTCTATTTGTAAATAACTGTAAAAATTCTAAAACAGGATTTGCTTGTGGATATACGTAAGGCGAATACATTGGACGAAGCGTTAAATAGTTACTTCAGTAGAGAACAATTGGATAATAATGATTATAAATGTGAAGCCTGTAAGAGAAGAGTTCCTGCCACCAAACAATTCACATTGGAGCGCCCACCAAAAGTGTTATGTGTACAATTGAAGCGATTTAGCGTTTTAGGAGGAAAAATATCTAGACACATCGGTTTTAAACAAACTATAGATATGGGCCCGTACTTGTGGAGAGAACCGGGAGAATCTCCCAGACAGCTTACCTACAAACTCATGTCGATGGTGACACACATGGGTCCCTCTGTAAATTGTGGTCATTATACGGCGATCGCACAAGTATCGAGTGGTCAATATTATTCTTTCGATGACTGCTGCGTTCGTCCAATAAGCCTTAATAATGTTTTAAGTACAAACTCGTACATTATGATCTTCGAGATGGAAAATTACAGTCAGAATTCGCCATCAACAAAAATGAACGGTACAACATCGGTAAAGAGTATCGTGTCGACTGCGCCAGTACCCAATTCTATAATAAATAAATCTATTGCGTTAAAAGCATCAACATCTGCGGGATGCTCGAACGGAAGCGAATCGTCAAACAACCATGATGAATCGAGCAAATCGCGGCCATTGATCGGTCCGCAGCTGCCGCCGCAAAGAAATGGCGTTGAATTAAATTTTCCTCTAAAAAAATCCAGCGACACCGATAATATAAAGTCATCGCAGAAAATGCAGGACAAGTCACAGCCAAGATTAGTGATGCATATTAAAAATGGGAAAGTTTTAAATGGTAACAGTTTAGTGCCCTATGATGTAGATCCCACTTCCAGTGAAGAAGAGGATAGTTGTCCTTCTGTCGGGACGGAGACTCTGAAAAATCAAACCTCAAATAATACCGTATCCCGAATTAATATTACAAATGGTGTGCCAAAATGTGTCATTACAAAAGACGGATTAAAAACCATCTCAAACTCTAAAGAAATACAAAAGACTACCAACTCTAAAAGTAATGGTATATCGACAATGACGCCGCAAGCTACTATTGTACAATGTACGAAAACACAAAATGGATCTAATAACAGTAATGGCCGAATAAGTTTATTAAAACATCAAAATGGAAGAATGGAAACAAACGGCGGTCAGTCGGAACAACGCGACAAGGATACGTGGCGTCAATCTGCCGCCAGAACTAAAAACGGACAGGAAGAGAATGTGCCTACAAAGGCTACGAGTAGCAACATTAAGGGTTGGCAAACTCCCAAGGACAAATTTTCTCCCTCATTCAACGGATCCAATGGATGGACTGATAATGGGTAAATCTATTTACACGAAACTTACATAATACAATGAGAAAAATAATGCAATATATATAGAGAAATAAAATTCTAATATATCTATTCTAGGGAAGACGCCAAGGTCAATCAAGGTAATACAACACCGAATGCCGCAGCTGTGCGAGATTTTAATGGTACCAACCGCTCGGACACTGTTTCACATTTATTGAAAATGTCGCATCGTGGATATGGCAGTACTTCCGGTAAGCATGTAATAAAATTTAATTGTAAAATAATAAAATTTAAATATTAAAAGATCAACAATTATAAATTTGTGAATCTTTATGAATTTCTAGTAACGAACTGGAATGGCAGTAGAACACAGCTAGATCGTGATGTCGATAACGACAGACGGGAGGAACGTAAACGTCATTTTAATACGGACGACGAAGAAATGGATAGGGGTCGCGTAAAGAAAGTCAAGGATCATTCGAGTCGTCGATCGTACAATGAGAGATCTAATACAAATTATAATTCATTCCAAGAATACCAAAACAAAACCTGGAATCGATCAGTTAATAGTTATCATCGAAGACATTATTATAACACTTCCTATGTGCGGCCGCGACACGGAAACAACTATGGAAGGCCGCCGCATTTCAGATATTCCTCTCATAGATATCTATAGATATCGCTCGTGCTCGCGACACCGAGTGATGAGCGTGAGTGTAGGCAATGGTAAAAGATTTTAGGAGTTGTATGTGGACAATTCAGAAAGCTGGTGTAATAAACTGTGTAATACCGATTTTCACTTGCTAAATAAATATCATTTCTTAGCATGAGATTGAAAATAAACTGTTGAATAAAGTTTCAACAGTAAACTATCGTGTTTCAGTTGATATACATATATATTATATATATGGACATTTTGAAGATAATGACATACATTCACGTTTCAAGAGACATAATACATGTTCCTGATAGATTCATGGCATTTTTGCTTCCTGCATAAGTTTGGTACACACGCTTCTATCATAAGAAGCGATCCATGGGGGATGAGTATCGCCAACTGTACCAATTTGTGTTCAACGTGAAAAATATTATAGAAAACTCCGTAATTTTTTCTAATCCTAATACGCGCGAATAACCGTAATTTTTAAATACATATTCATCATTAAATTCAACATGATACTTTTGAACAGTGAAAATCTGACATGGCGGTGTGAATATAAATTAAATGTAAATTGAATTTGATTGTATATTATTTAATACAGCTTATTAGGATCATGATCAGAGCAGTTATTTTTTAGGATAAATAAATGATATATAAACTAAATAGCTACAAATATATTATCTAAATTTAATCTATAAAATTTCAAATTACACACAAATATGCGTGTATATTTTTTGTTTGGTTATATATATTCTTGATCTAGATTTCCATATCATATACAAATTTTTTCTTTTCTATTATATTTCTCATGACGAAATATCAGCAATAAGCATGCTGATAAAACATTGTTGCAATGTCAAAAAAAATTATAATAGTCATTTTAAATTTTAGAATATGTGAAATTTAAGTCACAGAATCAGTTTCTTTGCTTTCATTTTTAGAATATACAAAATATTTAAAACATTTTTTTTTTTTTTATTATATATGTAATAATCCGTCCTACCCTATCTTTTTGATAAAGATACTCTTCCCCTACCCCCTGTTAGGAACGATATTAAAGGAGATAATCATTTTATAAGACAACTATAATGATTGATTTCATTATAATAGCGCTTTGAAGCGAAATGATGAGAAGATAGCAATCAGCATTTTTGATGGCAATATATCGCGCGCGCTGTTTCTTTTACTATATAAATTACAATTAATTAGCATATATATTTGTCAGCAAGTGCAAGTTTAAACATGTTTTTAAATGTTTCTACTGCGATAATTAAGATAAGCTGTGTATAATTAAATAAATCATATTTAGTTATGACAATTAATATTAACAATATTGAGTATGTAACAAAATATGTACATTACTTATGATAAGCGCGGGAGCGCTTGTAATATTAAGAAATTACACTATTAATAGTAAAAATTATAAAGTCATAAGTTAATTTTTTAAGCGACATACGGAGGAGTCAATTTCCAATTATTTTAAATTCCTATAATACCTCATTACATCATCCGAACAAAAGACATTAACCAAAAAAAAAAAAAAAAAAAAAAAAAAAATAATAAAAGAAAAATCAATGACGTTGAACGTTGCAATATTCAAACTTGGTAACGAATGGATCAAGATTCTTTCAGAGTAAAACAAGCGTAACTGCGTAAGTTGTTCAAAGTACGGTCACGAAACGAGCGCTCGGGTATTTTCGCGAGAATAACCCGTGCTATTTTCCTTCTTTCTGCTTAACTTGCAAAACGTTAAACATACTGACGACGATGAAAAGTGACAAATTGTGTGACATAATTATATCGTCGAAACGATTGTAGTAGAATCGATTAAAATCGAAAAATGTCACGATTACTTTAATTGCCGAAGCCTACGCTTTTCGGCGCGTTCTGTCCACAGATATAAAATCCCGTTATTGGTATAGAAAAAGATAAAACATCCGGGTCCACGCGAATACTTCAATGTAATCTTTCGAAATTATGCGCGCGATCTTTGCACGGGAGAAAGAACGGCGGATGCATTTTTTTTAAATGTAAAGCAGTTGCGAACGCAAGAAAAAAATTGATTGAAAGTAAGGTCGCCGGTTTTAAAATGCAAAATCGCGGCGATCTAGTCAGAGACCTGGAAAAGCCAGGCCCTTCCGAAAAAAAAAAAAAAAAATGTATATCGATGAGATTAATGCGCGACGTTATATGAAGTGGTCTATACAAGCAAACCAACGCCAGATTTATGTATGTATTTACATGTATAAAAAGAAAACAACGTCGTTTATATTATATATATATAAACTGGTAACAAAAAAATAAAGAAAAACAAACAACTGAATATATCTATCCTTTGGAACAAGAAGACTGTCGAAATTTTGTGTAGAAATGCATTTGTTTAACAAAAACAGTTCGACAAAAGAAGATATATTGATAAATATCATAAATAATTTTTTTTATGAAGATTACTATGACGACCAACATCGTCTCGATCCGCGAACTTGTGCAACTTCTCGAAAAAAATGTAAGTTAATAATTTCCTGTAAAAATATCGTGCGGTATGTATATATATATATATATGTTTCTCACTTTTTTAATTGTTAGAATTATTCAATTACTTATCGGACAAAAATGATATCGTATTTTGACATTTTTTTAAAATGTAGGTGAGCATTCTGAAGACGGAAAGCCACAATTCAGATATTGATTTTAAATTTCGCGACAAACTCGAATGCTTCGGTAAACTATCATGCAATGTGACTGATAAACTCCAGTCGTTATTATATTTATCCGAGAATCACACTGCAAGCAGTGACCTTAAAAAATTCATAAATAGGATTAACGGTTTATGGATTTCCGCTAATAAACAGGTAAAGCTTCTCTATATGATTTACTCTTACACATATTTGTTTTATATATATTAATATTATAATTAATTTATATAAAACAAATTACATATAATAGGATTATGGATTTCCGCTAATAAACAGGTAAAGCTTCTCTATATGATTTACTCTTTCACATATTTGTTTTATATATATTAATATTATAATATTATTATATAAAACAAATTACATATTTTA